CCATCCATCCATCCACACACCCATCCATCCATCCACACACCCGTCCACCCATCTATCCATCCACACACCCGTCCACCCATCCATCCATCCATCCACACACCCATCCACCCATCCATCCATCCGCACACCCGTCCACCCATCTATCCACCCACCCATCCACCTGCCACTCCTGCACCCATCCTTGGCTCCATCCCTGAGCACTCTGGGCAGGCAGTAGGGCAAGTGCTGATCCAGAACAGACTGTGACTGAGGTAAGAGGGACATGGCCCTGTTTCTAAGGACATGCAGGAGCCTGAGGGGAGCATCCACGGCCAAGAGGGCTGAGGGGTGCCGAGAGCCAGCCCTGAGACGTGGCTGAGGCTGCTGGCCGGTGGGGCGGCCCTGAGAGCGGTGTATGGGAAAGCAGGTGGGCAGAGAGCGTGGGGCGGGGGCTCCCAGCGGGAGGAGGGTGTGGTGGATCATGGTGGAGAAGGGTCCAAGAGGTGGCTGTCCAGGCCTCACAGTGTCCAGGGGCTCAAGGGACTGGAGGTACTAAGGCCCAGTTTCATGGAGGCCAAAAGTGTATTTCCTGATGTGGACCTGGATACAGAAAATGGAAACCCATGCCCTTGCCCACCCCGGGACCCCAAGGTAACCAGACCGGGCACTGGCAGGCGGGATAGCCAGGAGGCCGGCTGAGCCCTTGGGTGGGCACCGATGCCCCTGCTGGACGCACCCTGTACTGCAGCCGGTGCCGCCGCCCCTTCACGTGCATGTCCCTGGCGTTGGGGTCGTTGAAGCTGCACTCACACAGCTTGCAGTGGAACCGGATCACTTTCCCCTCGTCGTTGCACACCTGGGACACGAAGCACAGCTGCCCGTTCCAGCAAAGCCCAGAGGACGTCACCAACATGCAGGTGACTGGTCAGTTCTGTGCCTGCTCAGGGTGTCATCCAAAGCCCAGGCTGGCCTCCCGCCTGGCCCTTCCTCCTCCTGGCACTGCCCCAGTCTCCACCCCTGGCATGCACCTCACTGAGGAGCCCGGCTCTGCCCTGCTGCGATCGCTGCCCACCCTGGCCCTCCCTGGTGCCCACGGCCTTATGTGAGGCAGCTTCTTGACAGGGTGGCATGGTTCTGGCTGCTGTGGTCATTCTTCCTGGGGCAAAATGTAAGATGCTGGACGGACTGGACTAGAATATGAGCCTGGGGACGAAGGCACACAGGCCTGCAGCTCCCTGTGACAGCTGTGTTCTGTGCGTGGCCGGAGCCCCGGCGAGGCTCTGGGAGGCAGACGGGCCTTGTGGGACTGACTGCTTCTCCCTGGGCGCATTGAGGGGGCCATGCAGGTGCATGGTGGCTCCCAGTGACCCGTCTTGGGCCAGAATTCACAACCTGAGCAGTGGTGAGCTGAGGGAACCCAGCTGCCTCCCCTAGAGGCCGGTGGGGCCTGAAGCCAGCTGGCAGGGAGTGGCACACCCGTCCCTCCCAGGAGCGTCCTGGGCCTCCTTCCACTGGCTGGGCTCTCTCCACCCGCCCTCTTCAGGGAGCAGATGGACAGTCCCACAAAGGTGACGGCATGCCCTGCCCCTCACTCAGGGCCATCGGGGGTCTGCGCCGAGTGCTGGCCCCACAAGGTCTGCTGTGGCACCCACGGAAGGGGCGGGTTCACGTAGATCTCTCGTGATGAGCCCAGCGAGGTGGCGAAGCTGGATCCAGGGTCTGGCCCTTCTGCACTAGGGATCGGCCACGCGGTGGCCTCTACCCACCTCCTCCACGTAGTCGGGGCCAACGGGCTCCGCATCTGAGCAGCCCCCAGGAGCTTCCCATGGGCCTCCTCGGGAGGGTGGCTCTCCTGGCCCCTCCGACTTGTGCCGAGCTGATTTCCCCTCCGGGGGCCTGCTTCGTGTTGCCTGTGTCCTGGGAGGCCCTGAAGAGGGACAACCATGTCACTCCAGCCAGAAACCAGAGCTGGCTGGACACCCAGCAGCCGTGCAGTGTGGGGTGCACACAGAGCCAAGCCTCTCCTTGTCCTTTCCAGCTGGTGATGGCGATTAGCGCTGCCTAGACCACAGGCTGTGCAGGGTGAAAGGGTCAGATTCAACGTGGAGTCACCTCGCCAAGCCCTCCCAACGGAGCAGGGGGCACGTGGAGAGAGGGCTCTGCGCAGACTGATGGATAAAGGAATCACCACAGCTGGCTGCTCACAGGAGAACCAGCAGCGTCACACGGTGCCCCAAGCCCCACCCAAGGAAACGCCTGCTGCTCTCGAAAACCACATACCCCTGGGCAGGAGCCACCGCCCCCATCAGGGCTTGTGATCACCCATCACTGGCGCAAAGGCACCTGGACCTTTCTTTTAAGAGGCCATTCCATTGGGTGCTGTGGCCACGCCTGTGACCCCAACACTCAGGGGGCTGAGGCAGGAGGTGGCAAGGTCCAGGCAGCCTGGGCAACCTAGCAAGGCCCTGTCCCCAAATTAAGAAAGGGCTGGGTGCGGCTCAGGGGTGAGCGCTTTCCCGGTGTGTGGGAGCCCCGGGCCCGTCCCCGGCACCACAAAGCCAGTGAGTGACTTCTGGGGGTTCCGGGGCTCAGTAGGAGCCCAGCCTTTCCTCGTTGGAGCTGCGTCTCTGGGTCACACCAGCTCAAGTCACAGCCGAGGAGGCCTGAGGCCAGCCTGAATCCATGGGGCAGAAGCCCAGGCTCCACCCCTCCCTCGGGACCCGCCAGCTGCTCCTAACCTCCACCTCTGTGAATCAGCCATGAGGAGGCCGTGGCCAGAGTCTCCTTCGCCAGGTAACCAGGCACATCCTGCCTCGGGAGAAATGCCTCTGCCATCAACTTCTCACGGCAGACGCAGGCGCCCAGGCCTGAGTTGTGTGGGAGGCTGAGTGGGGAGGGGAGGTGGAAGCCAGGCCGTGCAGCCCAGAGAGGCCCAGCCTCAAAAATGAAAGCAGGGGCTGGGGATGTGGCTCAAGCGGTAACGCGCTTGCCTGGCATGCGCGGGGCGCTGGGTTGATCCTCAGCACCACATAAAAAAATGAAATAAAGATGTCCATCGAAAACTGAAAAATAAATATTAAAAAAAATTCTCTCTCTCTTTCTCTAAAAAAATATTTGAAAAAAATGAAAGCAGGGCTGGGGAGGTGCTCAGATGAGAGCACTTGTGTGCCACGGGTGGGGCCCTGGGTTCCACCCCCAGGACCACAAAAACAGTCCAACAAGAAAGCTCCTTAGTGACCCCATCTTCAAACCACACTGCAGGGCTGGGCTGGGGCTCAGTGCAGAGCGCTTGCCTGGCAGCACGTGCGAGGCGCTGGGTTCGATCCTCAGCACCACATAAAAGTAAATGAATAAAATAAAGGTATAAAAAAAAAACCACATTGCAGGGCGAGGTGCGGCTCAGTCAGCCTGCGAGGGCTCGGGCTTCCGCACCACGAGAAGTTTAAAATCTGTTGTTATTCAAGAAGCCATGCTGCCCAGGCCACAGAGACCCACCCCCAGCAGCGCAGGACACAGGGGCCCGAGCGGGGACCGCTGGACAGAGCAGGGGGAACTGAGCCACCACTGCTGGCTGGGTGGCCCGGCCAGCTACCCTAAGTCACCTCACCCTGGTCTTTCCATTTGCGCATTGGGACAAGTGACACAATCTTCCTAAGGGAGCAGCTAAGGACGGTGCCTGAGGAGAGTGGAGGGCTCAGAGCAGGAGCTGTCACCACCTCCGGTCATGGTGGGCCCGGACTTGCAGGGCAGGGTCAGGGCAGCGCGTGGCTCGTCAGCGCCCACGTGACTCCTCAGGACCCAGTCTGCCCTGGGCACCAGGGTGGGAGGAAATCTCCAGGCCACTGACAGGGCTTTGGAGGCTACAGGAAGACGCGACAGCAAAACCTCCCAGGAAGGTCTCGGGCCGCGTTCTGGACGGCATCGCCCGCTCCCGCACACGGCACACACCCTGACACTCAGCCTCTGCTCCAGGACCTGAGGAGGCGGCCAGGTTGCCCCGGTGCACACAGACAGGGATGCAGGGCCACCTACCCTCCCGCGGGGCACTGGAGGCCACGGTCCTCTTGGCCAGGGCTGGCCTGCCTGGAGTGTGGAGGCTGGTCGTGGCGGAGGCCGAAGGCCGGGTGGAGGCCTCAGGGGCGCTGTCCGAGGTGTGGGGGCCGGGTCTGCTGCTGCGGGCAGGGCTCCTGGGTGTCGGCTCAATGGTGGGGATAGGCTTCCCCAGTTTGGTGTGCAACTTGAAGACCTGGAAAGGACCCGTCCCTCCGTCAGGATGACCTCCGAGAGACAGGCTGAGCATCCAGGGGCCCCACCCCTTCCCGGGCTCCCCCCAAATGCCTCCAGAGCACCGCTCCCTGCCAGGGCCTCCTTGAGCTGCCCCTGCTTCCAGACCCTTCCTCCTGCTTTCGAGGCACCTCCGGCTCTCAGCACCTGCCTGGCTCCCTCTGGCCTCCTCTGGCTGTCCCTCATCCGGACCTCTGTCTCCCTGACTCCGAGGGCCCTGCCCAGACAGGGCGGCTCGGTGTGTGCATGTGTGGTTGGGGACCACCAGGCAAGCCGGATGCACGCATGCAGTGCTGGACACAGCCACTCTCCACCTAAGACCTGCAGGCACCGTGCTCCGTCCACGTCCCCTCAGCACTTGTGGGTCAAGGCATTTGTTGAGGTCCCAGTTGGCAAGGCCTGCTGGGTGGCCACCAGCATCTGCACCGCCTTAGACCCACCTGCTGGCTAGTTCACCCTCAGGACCGCACCACCCAGCAGGCTGCAGAGCCTCCTTGATCCCAGGCCGGGTCCCAGCCCTGGAGGGGACACTGCACCTGCCCTGCCTGGTCTCATCTCCTGCCAGCCCCCAGGCAACGACACTCCTTCTGTCGACCTTCCACACCCACCGGCACATGGCTGGGCAGTTCCCACAGGTGTTCGGGAGGCTGCACATACGGGCCTCAGTGAGCTGGGGGGGAGGGAGAGGGAGGGAGAGGGAGGGAGAGACGGTCCTAGGCCAGGCCTTCTCAGGATGGGCTGGAAAGATTGGCCCTGTGCAAAGGCCCAAGGGCAGGAGGCAGGTGGCAGCGGGACAGGGCACTCCCAGCCGTCCTGCTCGGTGACTACGTGGTTGGCATCCCAGGGCTCCTCAGCCCTCCACGCCCTCTGGAGTGAGCATCCCGCAGACATTCACAGTACCCCGGGCAGGGGGTGGGCGCTGCTGATTTTGAAAGGCCCGGCAGCCTGGGGAGCAGGCCAGGGGTCTCCCTGCCTTCTCTCAGGTCGGGGCACCACCAACTGCCCCTGCAGGCGTCTCTCAGGCCACAGGAAGGCTTTGGTGTGAAGACAGGAAACAGCTCTGAGGGAATGTCACCCCCGCCAGCACGCTGTGCAGTCCCCAAGTGCTGAGCGTGGTTGTTTCCTTTGTGGCCCAGGTGCAAAGGCCCCCAGGTCCCTATGTGTCTGTGCAGGCGGTGGGGGTCCTGTTCATGGTTAGAAGGTGTATGGCTCCCGGGGCACGGGGACCGCAGCCCTATGTTCTGAAGGGCCTCGGCAGGTGGCCCTCTGTGTCCCAGATGCCGAGGGGCCAGGCGTGGGCTAGTGGTGTGTGGGCCCCTACCTTCTGGTGCTTGGCTCCCCGGATGTGGGCGGCGTAGGCCTCAGCCCCGGTGCAGGACACAGCACACAGGCCACAGTGCAGCTGTGCCTGCGCCCCGCATGGGCTGCCGTTGGGCTGCAGGCCCGTCCTCTGGGCCGCCTCCTTCTTCCTGTGCTTCTGTCCTTCCAGATGATCCCGGTAGGTCTACCGTGAGGAGGAAGAGGTGGCCTGAGCTGGCATCCCAGCAGGCACTACCCCTTCCCCAGCAGGCCGAGGCCATAGCTGGTGGGACCCCAGTGGGTAATGTGACAGAGCCCCTGTCCCCATCCTACCACCCTCTGGCGCCCGAGAGGAGCAAGTGTCCCTTTAGAAAACTCAGAAGCTGGGACCAAAATACATCATTGTGGTTTCTTCTTTCCTAAAATAAGCCCTTTCTTAAGAGAGCACCATCTAACAATCAAAGAATCACAGGTTCAGCTTGGGCGGGGGCTTCTCCCAATCGGGAATCGCTGCCCAGATGGCGCTAGGCCCACTTGCTTTTTAGAAAACTGATGTGCGGAGTGCTCCACGTGGGACACACTGCCGTGGTTCTCAGTCCACGTGCCCGGGACTGCTGCGCCCAGAATATCTGATGGCCCGGCCCTCAGCCCTCGTGGGAGCCCAGCTGGTTCCTGCAGCCCCAAGGAGGCAAGCCGCACGGCCCCTCGCCTCACGTGCCCCCTGACCCCCTACACTTTGACCCCCTACACTTTGCAGGCCAGCCCCTGCAGCAGAGAATGTCCGCAGAAGAAATGGTACCACTAGGTTCTAGGGGAAACAAACAGGAGGTAGAGAGGAGGCAGGGCACAGGGTGGGAGGGGGACACCCTGCTCCATGCTCTCTGGAACTTCAGAATCCCCAAACTGGTTAGAATGTCACTTAGCCAACAGGGCGCACATGGTGCCCTCACAATTAGGGCAGGGCTGTGCAGAGAGCCTGCAGGAGGAGCCCCCAACCCCGCCAGGGCATCGTCTCATGCAGGAGGACTAGGTTAGAGGGGCTGCTCCTGCTCCTTCTTGTTCCTCCGATTGCTGGGTGTGCTGGGGAGGAACGGGGCGGGTTCCAGCGGGAGCTACCCCAGGCCTCGCCTGGTCTCGGCACGAGCTGGGTCACGTGGCTCAGTGGAGCTTGGGACGCCTGTCTCCGTGGCTGGCTCTGGCTCCAAGCTCCTGGAGGGATGGTCCCCCTCGGCCTCAACTCTCCCTCTGCCACCCAGGGGTGGGGTTTGGCTTCATGTCACATGCTCAGAGCTCCACACACAGGCAGAGGGAGACCGTGTCCCCCAGACGGCTGGGCTCACTCGTGAACATGTCACATGTGTTACGAGGACGAAGGGCAGGAGCATTATAAGAAAGAGGTGTGTCAAGCCAGGTGGGGGCCACGCCTGTCACCCCAGCTGCTCAGGAGGCTGAGGTAGGAGGGTCCCAAGTTGGAGGCCAGCCTGGGCAATTCCGAGAGACTCTGTCTCCAAGCCAAACAAACAGGGCTGGGGTGCGGCTCAGTGGTGGGGCCCTCTGGGTTCAAGCCCCAGGACCAGAAGAAAAGGAAGGAAGAGACAGACAGGGAAGGGGGAGGTGGAGAGAGGGGGATGTCAGGACGCCAAGGGGCTCTGGTGGAGCCCACACCCTGCCCCTGGTCCCCTGGTGGCCTGGGAGGTGCAGCCTCCTACGGGAGACTACAGCAGAAAGTGCCGTCTCTCTCACTTAGACAACTAGGGGACGCAGAAGTGCTGCCATCCGGGGCCCTGGCGCCCTGGGGACCATGCTTTCTGGAACTTCAGAATCCCCAAACTGGTGAGGATGTCACTCCGCTCCCCTGCGCTTCCCCTCCACGGTGGACAGCAGGCCCAGGCTGCGAGACACAGGAACCTGATGGCCCTGTCACAGTGAGGGAGGGACATGGGTAGGAGACAGCAGCGAGGGAAGCCGTGGCGCTGGCAACATGCCCCAAGCTCCTGGAGGGATGGTCTCATGCGGGTGGTGACGTGAGCACAGAAACGCACACGGGGACAAGTGGAAGCGGAACTCCTGAGTCGGGGCGCTGCACAGATGCTGGGGTGAGGGCTGGGGCGTCGCTGCGGGCTTTGTGAGATGCGTCAGAGCAGCGGGAGCCAGGCGCGCACCGCCACGTGGAGCGAGCGTGCTGAGCGCTGGCTGAGGAGCACTGGCTCTCCGGGCCTCTCCTGTGTGCCAGGTGCCACGCGGGGGTGGCCAGCCGCACCCCGACCCCGCAGGCTGGTCCTGCGCTGCCCCTTCCCGTGCACCCTGAGCCTCACAGAGGCACACTGCGTGCCCCCGGCCAGCCCGCCACGGTTTCACCGTTTTGCTCTATTGGAGATGGAAGCCAGGCGTGGGGTGCGCCAGGCAGGCCTTCCCAAGGGCGCGTGCGCGCGATGTAGGGGTGCGCTTCAGGGGTTCTGTCCCAGACTCTGACAGAGCGCGGGAACCCAGTGGGGTCAGAGCCTCTGGGAAGAGCCCCAACAAGGAAGGGGCGGGCGGGTGAGTGGGGCCTGCGCTGGCCCCCAGCACGTGCCCTCAGCTGCATCCCTGGGGCCTGAGGAACCTTCTGGGGGCTTCTCTCGCGTCTCCAGAGCCTGATTAGGACTCCACTCCCCTGCACGCCCCTGCGCTCCCTTCACAGTATGAAACATGGAACAAAATCAGGCTGCGTGCTCTGCCAAGACGGAGCCTGAGGTCTGATTCTTTCCAGGGAAAGAGGCCACAGTCTCCCTGGGTGACTTCTGAGTGTTGAGACCACAAACTCGCTGCCGTGTGACAGGGAAATCCTCCTCTTCTCTCACACATTCATGCACAGGAGCACACAGGCACACGCACAGGTCTTCATACCCATGCACGCCTACACAAAAGCACACACAGGCACCCACGTGTGTCTACATGGGCACACACCCCAGGCCTCTGTGTCTGCCTGTGGCTCTGCTTGTCCCCCAGCAAAGGGATGCCACCCCTATCCACGCTGGAAGCCACACCTGTGCACCACTGGCTGCACCTCCCCTCCTGGGACAGCAGAGAGCCCCGGGATCAGGACTGGGCCTCTGCGTCAGCTGGCAGCACTGTGCCCGGCTCCCACTTCTCCCACCAGATGCCAGCAGGCCCGTGCTGAGGCGATGCCAAGGCACGCTTTACGGTGCACGGTTCCCAGCAGACGTGTCAGCAGGCAGTGGCCCTGCCCTGTGCCCACCCTCGACAGGGCAGAGGCTGACCTGGGGTCCCGCACAGCTGATCCTGCAGGTGTCGCAGTAGTGGAGCTGGGGCTGCCTGGGGCCCACCTTGGGCCTCGGTGGCCTGCTGGGAAACTTCTCAGGGAAGCTGCCAGCGGAGCTGTCTCTAGGGCTGCTTCCTGGGCCACCCCATGGGACTGAGCCCACCGGTGCAGACGGCGGCGGGGAAGGCTGCCGGGGTGGCAGTGGCTGCAGCTGCTGAGAAGGCCCCGAGGGGGGCGAGGGCTGTGTCTGGGGGGGCGGCGGAGGGTAGTAAGCGCTGGCTGCTGAGTACACACACGCCCCGTAGCTCGGGTGGCTCGGTCCTGAGAGGGAGAAAAACGAGAGGGGGAGGGGCGATCCCAACAGAGTTGATCACAGGGACAGAGGGACAGGCAGTCTGGGTAAATGGGGACAGGGGACCTGAACTAGGGTGCAAATGGAGGCCTGGCTCTAGTCGCTCAGGGTCATGGGGCAGGTGTTGCCTGAGGACGGGGGCAGGTTGGTGGCTCTGCTCCGGCTATTGCTGCTGGCTGTGGGGCTGAGGTTGACTTTGCCCACCCCTGTGCTCCTGTGGCCTCCGCGGGTCCCAAGTGGTCAGGCCCATCTCCCACCACCCTCTCCCAGAGGCACAGTCGTGGGGGCCTGCCGGGTGCTGCTGACTGGAGCTCACTGGCAGTTGAAACCAGAGCTAGCCCTGGCAGTGACCTGGCAATGACATGCCCGAGGCCCTGGCCCACCATGGCCTCCAGCTCTAGCTCCCCCTCCGGTGCTGGGTAGAGAAGGGCCATACACACCCCACCTCATCCCGTGTCTCCCCGACAGAACTCGCCCCTCCATCCCGCAAAGTGCCCCCGAAAAAGCCATCAGCTCTCTGCCCTGCCCTCTTCACAGGCCTAGCCGCCCGCTGAGACTGGGGCCTATGTGACAAGCAGGGGACACCCCCTGGTCTCCCAGAAGGTTGCAGGTGGAACCTTGTGAATCCCGCCTGTGTGTCAATCGCCTGTCCTGCCCCTGGGCCCTGCACACCCACCTGGCTGGCACAGCGAGTCCGAAGCCTCAGGCCCAGGCTGATGGGCAGCAGCCTCGTAGTGCTGTCTGTCCTCGTAGCTCCTGGTGGCCGTCGACTGTCCATAGCTGTAAGTGTCCTGCGTGAGGGTTTCCACGGGAGAGAGGGGGAGCAGCTCAGGGCCTGGGCTGGGAAGGCTCCCCACAGGCCCCAGCTCAGTCACTCACTCCCCGAGCCCCCCGCCCCGTGACAAGCCCTGGTAGAGGAACTGGGGACACAGCGCAGACAGAGGTGGACGCAGCGGCCCTAGTGGAGCTGATGCTAGTGACCAAGAGTTGCCTGTGATTTTCAGTAGGCTACTGGGAGGCGGGCAGTTTTGGAGGGAGATGTCCCAGGCCTTGGTGAGGAGTAGGGAGAGGGACAAAGACAGTGGCTTGATGGGTGCCATGCTGGGTCTCTGGTGCCTGTGATGCCATTCACTGATGTGGACGGGGATGAGGTGTGGGCAGGAGCTGGAGGCAGGACGGGTCACAGCACTGCAGGAGAGCTGGGAACACCTAGTGGAGACGGCGGCCTGATGGCAGGTCCCAAGCTGCAGATCCAGGAGGAGGGGCTGTGGGCGGGGAGGGCACTGGAGCAGGCCCTCGTGGGCAGCCACTGTCCCCAGGAGCTCCTCGGGTACAGCTTCCACGATGGAGGGGACTGCCCCCCTTGGGAGGGAACTGTAATTCAACGGCCTTCCCACACCTCACAGACAGTGCTAGAAAGAAAGGTGACCATACAAAGCCCACAGGACAGGGTCCGAAGGGAGTCCACCACACTCATCCATGCCACACGACGTCTCCCGCCACGTTGGCAGTGGGGTACCTGATAGGTGGGTGCAGAGGTGGGCCCGGGGACAGGCTCCTGGGGCTGGTTGTTGTAACCAAGGTCCTGGCCAGAGTGGGGCTGGTAGCAGCCATACCCTGCGGGGGCTCCAGGGCTGGGCGGCTGGGCTGCCGGGGCGAAGGCCAGGTTCACAGAGGGGTCCATCCCTGGAGCCGGCTGCACGGAGTAACTGGCCCCGGAGGCCGGGAGAGGAAAGGCTGGGGGCGGCTGGGTGCTGGAATCACAAAAGCCCGAGCTGATCAGACGCAGTTCTCAGCGCGCCTGAGCCGGACGTGGAACTCCAGCAACCCGACTCACTGCGGCCAACCCGAGCGGGACACCTTCTGAGTCTGCCAGCGCCTCTGAGCTTCCTGGGGCCCAGGCACAGTTTCAAGTTCCCTTCAACCATCTCAACAACCCCGAGGGGAACCAGGGCAGGGTTCGTGGCCATTGGGACCAAACCCATTCTGCTGCTTCCCGGGTGAGCCCCTGGTGAGGCTCGTCTTTAAGCCCAACATCAGTGTCCTCCCAAGACAGCTGACTTCACGGTATAGATGCCACCTGATGCCCAAGTGGCTGCAGCCGATAAAACCAAGTGGAAGATGACCGTGACCTGGAATTGCATCTAGCACAGCCCTCTCCTAGATTCCACCGCCGAGCGCCAGCCTGCGAGGGCAAGATTGCCCCGCACAGAGCTGGAATTAGGGTGGAGAATCCGACCTGTGTGATCTGTGAGCACCGCACACAAAGTGAGAGTGGAACGGCTGCGCAGGGTGCCGTCACCGGGCTGCAAGGCAGACCCGACTGGATCACCCTAAATTGGGGGCCATCTGGCTTAACAGAGCAGGTCACCACCTGGTTGTTAAGATGCAGAAGGTCCCTTAGCACCAAGGACTGTTCCTGTGTGAGAACCGGCTTCCGGTGAGCCCCCATCCACGTCACCTGGCTCCCCACAGAGAGGACAGCACTGTCCGCCCTGCAGTCACCAGGAGCCCCTCCAAGGAGGAGGGTGGGGGGCTCCCATCTCGCAGAGAAGCCAGCACAGGTGCTGTTTCGAGCCCAGCACTCTTTGCTCTGTGTCACCCACCAGGGGAGGCGTGGAAGTGGAGGGGCCTTCACCAGGGAAAGGGATGAGGAGAGATTTTAACCCTCGCCACACAGATCACAGGAGACGGCGCGCAGAGCCTGCAGGCAGGTGGCAGGATGAGAGGAATTTGGGGGCAAACAAAGGATCGCACCATCCCTTGGTGTCCACAGGGAGCAGGTTCCAAGACCTCGCAGACACCAAAACTTGGGTGCTACGGGGCATGCCATCTGCACAGGACCTGCCGCAGGGTCCTATGGACCTTAGACCATCTCTAGGTGACTCCTAACACCTGCCACAAAGTTGTGACACTCTATGGTTCAGGGAAAACATAAGAAGGTCTCTGTGTCAGTGACACAGTTGTGTCGAGTCAGCTGTTGGCCTGGGCTGACTCAGCCCGGGCAGGAAGGCCACGAGGGAGACCGCGTGGAACGGGCAGGAGCAGGGGAGCAGAGCCTCCCGCCCACAGGGCCTGCCGTTCTCTGGGGTGCACAGCGCTGCCTGCCCCGCAGCCCCACCCCCCACAGCCTCTCTCTGTCCTCCAGCAGCCAGGGGGTCCTTCCAAGCCCACCCTTTCCGCGTCTTCCCCCTGCTCAAGGCCCTCCCAACCCTTTCAGCATTGCCCCCGCCTGCGGGTGGCTGCTCAGATGTCCCCTCTAGGCCAGGTCTTCCCAGACAGATCCCCATCCCTGCCATTCTGTCCCTCTGGCTTCATGGCTCGCAGCAGGTGCCAGACTGCTGGGCCTTCAGGTTGCTGGATGCGGGCAGGCAGGGGGGGGGGGGCCTGGCTGGGGCCTTGTTGGCTGCTTCTCTGGAGCCCCCTGAAGCGCTCTCTGGCCCCAGGTGCTCCTGCTGGCTCCCCACCCTGCCCAAGAGCAGAGTGAATTGTGCCAGAGGCCACGCACTCCCCGGATGGTGCCCCCAAGGGAGGTCTTCATCTCTCCAAGGAGCGCCTGGCAGCTACAGAGAAACAGACCCTCAGATTTTGACTCCTGTGCCTAATGGTGGCCACCAAGGCCACTGCAGACACCTACCAAGGAGCACCTGCTCTGTGGCTACCGCAGCTCAAGCTGGGGAGACCCTGCCCCCATGTGGGGCTCTGGGATGCCTTTGGGGCTCAGGGCCCTGCTGCCCACCCCTGGGGCGGCTCTCCGAGGCCTGAGGCCTGCAAAGGCAGGAAGTGCCGGACTGCAGAGTCGAAGTGCTGGGCCCGCCCACCCCGAGGTTCCAGGCGGGTGCGTGGGTCACAGCACTGCTGGGCAGCTGGGGACACTGCAGCACAAAAACTCATGATGCTCCCACACTGCAGGTCTGGTGTGCCCAGGTGAGGCAGAAGGCACTTCACGAGGCAGCCAGAGGGCCCTGGGCCCTGGGATCACAACTGACCTCTGAGAAGCACGGAAGAATATGCAACTCAGTGTTTCAGAACCCAAGGAACTTTAATAATTTTGATTTAACAATTTGATCCTCATTAAATTATTATTTTTTAAATTTTTTTTAGTTGTAGATAGACACAATATATTTATTTATTTATTTTTTAATGTGGCGCTGAGGATCAAATCCAGTGCCTCACGCATGTCAGGTAAGTGCTCAACCACTGAGCTACAACCCCAGCCCCTGATCCTCATTAAATTATAATTTCTGTACCGTCTTTAAAAATAACAACTGCTGGGGCTGGGGATGTGGCTCAAGCGGTAGCGCGCTCACCTGGCATGCGTGGGGCACTGGGTTCGATCCTCAGCACTACTTAAAATTAAAATAAAAAGATGTTGTGTTGACCGAAAAACTAAAAAATAAATATTAAAAAATTCTCTCTGTCTCTCTCTCTTTAAAAAAATAAAATAACAACTGCTGGGCACGGTGACGCACGCTTGTAACCCCAGTGGCTCTGAAGGCTGAGGCAGGATTGCGAGTTCAAAGCCACCTTCAGCAAAGGTGAGGCGCTAAGCAACTCAGGGAGACCCTGTCTCTAAATAAAATTAAAAAAGGGCTGGGATGTGCCTCAGTGGTCAAGTGCTCCTGAGTTCAATCTCCAGTAACCACCCACCAAAAAATTAAAAATAAAAATAAGAGCTTTATTGAGATCTAATTCACACCGACACAATTCAGCCATTTAAAGTGTAAAGTGTGATGGCTTTGGTACATCTGGGAAGTTGTGCAACCTTCACCACATTAATTTTAGAACATTTTCATCACCCCAAGAAGCAGCCCATGGGAATGGAAAGTGCCAGCACTATGGAAAATGCCCAGCGGCTCTCTAAGGGCTGGACAGACTGCCCAGGAAGCTAGCAGCTCCTGCCCAGGTGTCATCCCAAAGCAAGGGGGACATGGATGTACAGCCATGTCGATAGCAGCGTGATTGACAGCAGCCAAAACACAGAAGCAGCCCTAGTGGCTGCCAGCTGCACAGAGAAACTACGGCTCAGGGCTCTTAGATTAATCCAGGAAGCAAAGGGGCCGTGACAGGATGTGAGCTGTTTTAGGAGCTGCGGACAGACCTGTGCCCCTCCAGAGTCAGACAGACCCCGAGCCCTGAGCCCAGGGCGATGGTATTTGGAGACGTGCTCTTTAAAGAGCTGATAAAGAGTGCCTGAGGCCACAGGCTGGGGTCTGGCCCCACAGGCCTGGAGAAGGCACACGGCAAAAAGGCCACGCGAGCCACACAGGAAGGAGACTGCGTGGTGTGGAGCTGGAGTTGGAGACTGGGTCCCAGTGGTGCCCTAGGGAGGTGGAGAGGCTTTAAGAAGTGAGCTGGTAGAGGTGGCAGGACTGGGATGTGCCTTAGGAGGGGTTGGTGACCCCCGCCCCTTCTTCCTTTTTTTTTTTTTTCAATTGCCTCACACGTGCCAGGGCGATGGTCCACCACAGCCAAATCTCCAGACCCCCTTCTTTTGCTCCCTGGCTCATGAGGTAAGCGGGTCTGCTGTCGTAAGTTCCCTCCATGATGTGCCTCTTGCCACACACCTAAAAGCCACGGGCCCCCATCATGACCGAAACCTCTGCAACTACAGCGGAAAGAAACCTGCACTCTTTTTAAGTTAATTATGTCAGGTATGTCGTCACAGTGACGGAGAGCAAGCGGCCACCATCTGCAAGCCAAGAAGAGGCCGTGGGACAAACCCGCCCTGCCCACGCTTTGATCTTGGACTGCAGCCTCCGGGACTGCAGGAAATAAAGGTCTGCTGTTGAAGCCACCCACTCTGCAGGATTTTGTCACAGAGGCCCCAGCTGACTAAGACTGCCATGACCAGGCTGCTGAAGTGAGAAGTGAAAGGCCAGGGCTGCAGGACCCTCGGGAGACACCCTGGGGCCAAGCTGAAGGGAGTGGGAGAGAGCCAACAGGTCACAGTCAGAGCCCGCCCCCAGGCAGCCAGGGCTGAGACGCCCACCACAGGCCGGGACAGCCAAGTGTCAGGAGCGCTGGTGGTGACGAGGCAGTGATGGAGACCCAAAAAGGGAACTCTTGGCCCACCTCATGTTGAGTAACCATCAAGCGCAGCGAAGCCGCCCGCTGCCTGCGGGCCACCTGGGGTCACTGCCTCTCTCTGAGAGCTCTGCCCAGGGGGCCCAGGCAGGAAGGGAGAGGAGAGTGGAAGGGCAAGGGGTTCGTCCTGTGGCTGCTGGTTCGTGGCGCTTGTTTCTTTACTAAAACTGCGGGCCCCAGGTAAGAGAGCTTTTCCATCTTTGAAAGGTCGGCAAGAGTCAAAGGGTGTGCTTTCATGACAGCGGGTGGCCTGAGGAGCACACTTCAGCATCTGAACCCGACGCTGGCCCAGCGCTCGGCAGCCCATTCACTGTGCTGCTGCAGCTCAAGCTGGCCACGGTGGCCAGCGAGGCCTGTGGTCCCTGCTGCTCCAGCCTCTGCAGGCAGCCTGGGCGGGGGCTCAGGCGGCAGCTGCCAGATGGGCCATGGTGGCTCTCCTCCTCCAGGGGCCAGGTTGGGTCATTCACATGCTGGGTACTCCAGGGGGGACGCAGGCCAGGCCCCTGGAGGCCCAGGCTCAGGAAGGGCACAGTCACTTCTGCTGCAGTCTGCCAGCCCCAGGAGGGCATGAGGACGCCTGGACGCAGGCCGTGAGAGCCGAGGAGTCGCAGGGAGGCCTGGCGGGGCAGCAGCAGCCAGTCCTCCACGCCGCCGTGCTTCAGCTGGGCAGGAAATCAGGGTTCAGCCCTGTGGCTGCCAGGCCCAGGACCTCAGAGCAGGAGTGTCACAGGGAAATCCTGCCCTAGGACCCTGGGCCATGTCTGGGGACACATGTGGCTGTCATGACTGGGAGCTCCTGGGCTGCAGGGCCAAGGCAGGGAGGCTGGCCTGGCCTGGTGTGCAGAGCTGCCGCGGAGGCACTTGGAAGGGGAGGGCAGGACACGGGAGCGTGGGTGGGACAGGCTGAGGGCCTAGGCCTGGGGAGGAACAGGCCCGGAAGCCTCCACCTCCTCAGCTTCCCACAGCAGAGTCACGCTGACCTTCGCTCCCTTCTTGCAGTTCCTTGGCTTTTTCCTGGGTCCCCTGAGGAATCCGAGGGCTGCGAGCTCTGGCCGTGCCCCTTCCTTGCCAAAGGCACTGGCCCCATGGATTTGCCCAGGGTCACCTTGGTTTGAGCCTGAGTAGAAAGGCCCTGTCACTAGGGCAGATCCAGCAGCACCTGCCCAGGCTAGGCAACAAATTTTATAGTAAACACATTTTGCCAGCAGAGAAGGAGGATGGGGAGGAGGAGGAGGAGGAGCCGTGATGGCATGAAGAGGAGGAACCCAGTCTACCCACTGTGCAGGGTGAACCAGGCCCAGTGGGTGAGGCTGTGTCTGCAGGGCTGGGGAGGGACAGGACACTGCTCATGGCGTGGGTTTTCCTTTAAGATGACAGAACGTTCTGGAGTTAGAGGCGATGGGTGATAACCCCATGAATGTCAGAAAGCCACTGTTCCTGCACTTTAGAAGGGTGGACTGTGCAGTGAGTTATGTCTCAAGAAAGCTATTTTTGAAAGTATCTTTTGGGGGAAGAGGAAGCTCTGGGGGACGCTACTGTCGCCTGGTGTGCGTGGAGAGTGTGACAACAAATCCACCGTCATGAGCCATGAGAACACACGAATAAAAAATGTGGGAAAATACTCGTGAAAAGGACAGTCGTCTACATTCATAATTTTTTAAAAGGCACTTCGTATAAAGTCTTCAGTTCTAACTAATTATTGTTTTGGAAGTTTTAAAACATTAAAGTAGGCGGGTGTGGTGGCCTCACTGTAATCCCAACAGCTCAGGAACTGAGGCAGGAGGATTGTCAGCCTCAAAGCCAGCCTCAGCAAACGTGAGGCACTAAACAACTCAGTGAGGCCCTGTCTCCAAATACCATATAAAGTAGGGCTGGGGATGTGGCTCAAGGGAAGTACCCCTGAGTTCAATCCTTGGCATAGAAAAAAAAAAAATTAAACGAATTTGTAATGAGTCAGGGAAGCAGGTGTCTGGGCATCAGGGCTTAGCCCTTGTCCGTCTAAGGCCAAGGCCCCGGTCACCCAATGAGGACGCAGAACTGGGGGGATTTCTATCAGCATAAAGATCTGATGCCGCAGCTAGGCCTGGACTGTACCCAGAGGCCATGTGTTGCAGGCCTGGCCCAAGGAGGTGCAGCTGGGAGATGGAGGAGCCTGAGAGCTGGGTTTAGTGGGAGGCCTCGGACCATGGACTATGAGATGCTCTCTGTGTTCCCTGGCCACTACGAGAATGGTCTGGGGCACCACGGGCTCCTTGCAAGCTGTGCCCCTCACCACAGGCCCAGAGCAGCTGGCCTGCCCACCACGGCCTGCCACCTCCAAAACTGAGCAAAACCCCCGTCCTCTTTAAGCTGGCCATCAGGTATTTGTTAGTGACAGGAAGGAAGGTGACACACCATGCAAGGCACTCAGGGAAGATGAGAGAAAGCAAGGAAACACAAAATAAGCACGAGATTCAGTGGGACAGGAAGAAGCCCGCGTGGGGCGAGGGAAGGGCTCCTGACCTCGCTGGGCACAGCGCCTCCTACAGGGTGGACTGCTGGCTGCTGTTTTAACCCTCAGCCTCGCATCAACAACTGTTTGCATGTGAAGAACAGAAGGAGAGTGGAGGGAGCCACCTGGGGCCAGCTAGAGGAGATGCCATCCAGGCCCTGAAGGAGCCCGAGGGCTCGGGAACTGTAAGGTGACTCTGCTTTTGCTGGTGGCGCTTGAGAGCAGTCTGTGTGAGATCTGATGGGAAGGGAGAGAAGCCCTGGCAGCAGTGGTGGGCACGACCAGTCCAGGGACATGTGCTGGCCGCTGCCCGGCCAGATGCAAAGGTGCCGCTGCACAGGCAGAACTGCACCAAGGCTGGAGGTGGGCAGCTGGCCTGCTGCAGGAGAAGCGCAGAGCCGGAGAGGCCAGAGGAAACGGGTCGCCTCAGGGGCAGCCGCAGCCTGCGGCCTCCACTCCGAGCCACCTGGGGAGCTCCATGCAGAGCAGGGCGACAAGGGACTGGGACGGGGCAGGGGCAGAAGCAGAAGCAAAGAGCCCCAGAGGGGGCCAGGGCAGCCCAGCACAGGAGGGGCGAGAGGGAGAGGAAACAGGGCCAGGTGGTGCCCAGGCTTGTGGTCCTGCCACAGGGGGTGGAGTGATGGGGCCACAGCCCAAGGGATTCCCGGCTCCAGCAGGGGAAGAGGTGGGAAGACCTGCCCACACCCTGGTTTTACCTCAGAGAGACCCATTTGGATTTCTTTTTTTTGGGGGGGGGACAGGGGGGTACCGGGGATTGAACTCAGGGCCCTCGACCACTGAGCCACTCCCCAGCCCTATTTTGTATATTACTTAGAGACAGGGTCTCACTGAGCTGCTTAGTGCCTCACCATTGCTGAGGCTGAGGCTGGCTTTGAACTCACAATCCTCCTGTTTCAGCCTCCAGAGCCGCTGGGATTATAGGTGCATCATTGCACCCGGCTCCATTTTGGATGTCTGAGCCCCTGAATGTGTGGCTATTTGTTACAGCAGCCACAGGAGACTTATATGGAGGCAGGAAGCCTATCAGGGCAGTAGGTCCCTGGAGCCCAAAGGACTAGGGTGCGTGTGCCCAAAAGGCCAGCCCTGCACTGGTGGCCTAAGTGGCTTATGGAAGAAGAGCGCTTGGGGCCTGAGGTGGGGCTGGCCACTCCTGCACAGGGCACACATTCCCAGAGCTGCAGGCCACGTGATCGGCTGTGCATCTGCTCTCACCCTTTTGACAACCATATAAAGTTGAAGCTCGGGACTGGGCCTGGGCTGAGCTGGACATAGGAGTGCATGGCCAAGACCAAGGGCACCAGCTGTGAACACAGAGCCAGTGAGGGTGGCTGCCGGAACACTTCTGGAGAGATGCCCTGGGGACAATCTCCAAGGTCTGAGGGGAGGGTGGTGACACTGAGTCAGAGTCAGACACCCAGAGAGCCAAAGCTGGGGACTCAGGAAGGTGCAGGCACAGTCAGGAAGTCACAAGGAAGAGCAGGGAGACCCTTAACCCCTGCCTGGTACAGGCAGGGGCAGGAGGGTGTTGGGGAGAGGGTGTCCATGAAGGTGGTGCCCACGGGAAAGCCCACCTCCCTGTGGTAGTCATGTTTTATTTTCCGCATCTCATGGTGCTTGGCTGACCAGGGAGAGGCCCCTCTGGGGCTGGTGGCTCTCTAGAGATGGCAAAGGGTTTGCTGGCAGCACAGCTTCCATCTGCAAACCAGTCCCTCTGCCTGGGGCACAAGGAGCCCACTGAGTCACCAGGGACAGTGTCTCAGTCACTGTGCACACCTCCAACAGACCACAGCCTGGGGACTTGTAAAGCACAGAGGTTTATTGCTCACAGTTCTGGGGACTGGAGGCCAAGGTCAAGGCATGGAGCTGACAGAGGCTGATGAGGGCTTCTCTGCTGTGGCCTCACCCGGGGGAGGAGGCAGTGCTCCCGGGCCACATGCAGGGGAGCCTCAGGGTCTCTGCACCTCTTCAAATGATCAGACTGTGACGTGACCCCTCCTCAGGCACTGTAAGAAACCCTCCTGTGGCGCTGGCTTCCCGCATAACACTAGTCCATAGAGCAACACTGCAGGTGCAAGAAGGGATGGGAGGGTTGACGACACCAGTGGTTCTGGTGTGCGCCAAGAGGATTTGGGGCCGAGGCACTGTGGGGAGCATGGTCAGCAGAGGGTGTGGAATCTGGAGTGGCCTGCAGGGCCTTGGGCTGGCCATACTCTTTCTTGCCTCCGTTTACTCACCTGTGAAATAGGAATCGCTGATCTGGCGCTGGGACAGTGAGACCACTGAAGGAGGACTCTGTGCCCCTGGGCCAGCTTGGGGCTGGTGCACTGTGTGTCCAGGGTGGCCAGAGCTGCCCGGGTAAAGCACTGCTGGGACTCAAGACTCACTGTGAAACCGGCCAGCCTTTAAATAGTGGCCGCCCGCTCACACACAGCTGGTGTGAGAGCAAACAGCTTGTGAGGCCCAGGAACTGGCGACGTCGCAGCTTCGCCCTGTAAAGCTGCCCTCGGTCCACGAGCAGGTCTCCTGCTGCTGCTGCTGCTGCTGCTGGAACCACCTGTTGCTCAGAGACAGCCGCCCGGTACTGCAGTGCTGCTGCCCGCTGTCTCCATGACAGCAGCGCCTGGGCTGGGGACCAACCTGGGGGTGGGAGCTCAGGCAGGAAGCTGGACATGCTCCGGCCACCACTGGTGGAGGAAAACCGGTATTTTAGCCCAACTCCATTGATGCCCGCTCTCCCTTCCTCCCTGGGCTTCTGTCCTTGGGCCCTGGGCGGTGGTCTCTGGGTGGCTCTTTGCTCTGAATGTTTGCTGGGGCAGAGGGAGGGCACGCATTCCAGGTTAGATTTAGAACACAAAGGCGGCAAGACAGTTTCGCTCACAGTTCACTGAATTCCTGGGGACATCGAGGTCCTGAGGATGGACGGGCTCATCCAGAGACGTCCAGGTCCCCCACCCGGCCTCTCTCCTGACAGGCTCTTACTTGTTCTCAAGGGACCAAGATCCTGAGGGAAGAACAGGCATCAAAATGCAGTGTGGAACCCAAGGTCAAGGCCAGTGGTGGGATGCCCAGGGACCATCAGGAAGGAGGACAGTGGCAAATGATGATTCTGCTGGATATGGCTTCCAAAGAACACCTCAGTGGGAGCACACGGAAACAGAGAAGACAGAGTCCAAGACATGAAAACCCAAAGGAAGAGATTCTCCCAGAATCCCAGGGCTGAGCCACCTCAGTGATTCTTGCTTTGAGGAGGCTCTTAACTTGGGGACACAGCTCTTCCGCTGCTGGCCTCTCTAGCACCCTCCTCCTAGGGCCCCCCAGTGGTGAGAGGCCAGCACAGGCAGCCGGAGACCTGGGCATCAAGCCCACCCATCTTTCAGCACTGCTGAGGGAAACCCTGGCTCCTGCAAGCTGAGCTTGGAAGGTAGCAGCTCAGGGTGCAAGGCTGGAGGCCAAGGTCAAGTGCAGCACGAGCGAGGCCCCACGGTCGCTGCCCAGGGGGCCTCAGGTCTGCTTTATTGGCAGTGAGGTTGCGTTCTACAGCCCAGGCGCTATTTGACTGTACTCCTGTTCTCAGGGGCTTTATGTTTGAAACACACCATACACTTTTGTTTCGTTTCTGGTGCTGGGACGGGACCCGGGCCTCAGCGCTTGAGCCGCACCCAGCCTGCCTGTTGGACAGTGTGCTTGCGAGGCTTAGCAGAACTGGCATTTTCTTTTCTTTTACTATGAAAGCCTCATGTGTGTCTCCAGGTGGAACCCCCACTACAAACCCAGATGCCCCTGGAAAACATGCTGACGCACTACAGAGATCTCGAGTTGTTCCGAGGTAACAGAGGCTTTACCACCCGCCCCGTCTGCAACCGACTTGAAGCTGCGGTCAGAATCCAGCTCCACACCAGGGCCAGCTCGGCCCCTTGGGACAGAGCCCCGTCCACATTCTGGGGCTGTGCCCAAGCCTCTCAGGGGGCCAGGCTGTGTCTGGCAGCAGCCCCTGGGTTTCTCTTCCATCCTGCTAAAGGAAGGTGCCCCACAGGGTGGCCCTGTGGTGGTCCGTCAGTCACGCACTGTGGAGCGAGGCTCCCTGACACTGCTGGCTGGGCAGGAGGGAGGGCGCAGGCGTGGCCGAGGACAGGCAGGTGAAGAGCTCCAGCCGAGCCATTCAACAAAGTGATGCCTTTCAACTGCTGCAGACACCAGACATCTGGACATCTCGGGAGCGTGAGGGGGTCAGGTGTGGCTTCATTGCTCTCCTGCCTGCGGGGGGTGGGAAACCTCCTGGGGAGCAGCAGCAGCAGCTCTGCGGCCCCCCAAGCACGGAACCTCTGCTGTGGGAAGGAAGTGACAAGCCAAGCCGGCCACCAGGGCACCTATGAGGAAGCTCCACAGAGAGGACAGTGGCCCTAGAAGCAACCACTGCATTCAAAATCAAAGCTAGTTGATGGCCTTCCAGAACATTCAGCCCAGGCACCGGAGGCTGGGATCAGCTTTGCTCCAGGAGCAACCATCCAAGGGGCCGACTTGTGCAACAGGACCGACTGTCCAAGGTACAGAAGCCGACAGAGCCGGAGGAAGCCTCTCCAGTCTCAGCCAGCAGGGACAAAGAGCTGCCCTGGGGCACGGTCAACAGAACAGCAGAGGAAGCAAGTGCCGGACGCCCAAGTCGCCTTAGCAGGGAAGCTGCCAGGGAAAGCACCCACCAAAACCAACACCTCGGCTGAGGGTCCACCCAAGAGAAGACCACAGGACACCGCCCGGAGCAAAGAGCAGATAGACGGTGTAGGGTGTGTGACTGGCAGCACTCGTCTGGAGCCCCCGATATCCGGGGACAACCAACAGCCCCTGGTGGGCTGCCAGGGTGGGAACATGGTGCCTCGGGCACCTTGCACCTACCTTAGGGAAGGGAAGCAAGCCGGCGTGGTGGACATGCCTGTCATCCTAGCTACTGGGGAGGCTGAGGCAGGAGGACTGTGAGTTCAAGGCCAGGCTCAGCAACATAGTGAGACCCCAATTTAGAGCATGATGACAACCAAAACTGGCCCAAACCTCAAAACACAAACTAGACATCCTCAGAGCCCTCCCAAGCAACTACAGCGGCAGGAACAGGGTTCTTCCTGTGCCTGTGCTACGCAGGCTCCCTTTATGAGCAGACGGGGCCACAACCCGCCCTGGCCAGCCCCACCTCTGCCAACCCCACCTCCGCCAGCCCAGCCTCCATAAGGCAGACTCCTGAACTCTGCACAGCTCTGCTTGGTGCTGGTCTTTTGGTGTGGGAGGGTTCCACCTAAAAACCAAGTCCTGCCACCTGGTCTCCCACCCCATGTGTGGCTGACTGGCTGAGGTGACCTCTGGCCCCTGTCAGGATGCATTCATGGCAAACACTGATTCCAAGAGTCATGAGAAAATGCTTTTATAGCTGGACACAGTGGCCACGCCTGTCATCCCAGTGACTGGGAGGCTGAGGCAGGAGGGTTGCAAGTTCAAGGACAGCATCAGCAACTTAGCAAGGCCCTGTCTCAAAATAAAAAACAAAAAGGGCTGGGATGTGGCTCAGTGGCAAAGCGCCCCTCAGCACCACACACATGATAATGATGATGATGATGATCATCATCATCATCAGTGGCAGAGTGCTTGCCTAGCATGTGCGAGGCCCTGGTTTCAATCCTCAGCACCATATAAAAATAAAATAAAGGCATTCTGTCCATCTACAACTATAAAAAAATTTAAAAGAAGATTATAAAAATTCAGAAACAGAGAATATGTTTGGGAATTTAAAGGATCTCTTAGGAGTTTACTTTTATCCCAATGTTTAGGAATTTATTTTTGGTTCTAAAATGGATAAAATAAAAATTCAAAATCTATACTTGAAAAGCTTTTTTTTTTTTTTTGCAGTGCTGAGGATAAAACTCAGGGGTGTGGCACATGCTAGGCAAGCGCTCTATCACTGAGCTACGTCCTCAGCCCTGAAAATTTGTAAAAACATTCAATTCACTTGTGATAGGGTCTGAGATAGCATAATTCGGTCATGCAATAAGTCTTCTTAAAAATGTACTTTTTTTTGTCAGTTACAGTAGTCATGCCTGTAATTCCAGCTGCTCAGGAGGATCCCAAGTTCAAGACCAGCCTCAGCAACTTAGCAAGACACTCTCTAAAATAAAATAAAAAAGGGGCTGTCAGTTTAACTCAGTGGTAGGCACCCCTGGGCTCAATCCCAGGACCACAGGTGGGAGTGTGTAAAACGAAGGTAGCCGACTGCGAGATCCCAGTGGGAATTCAACAAAACTGCTCCAGGAGGCAACAGAGCTGGCCTGCCTGCCACTGTCTTGGAGGGAAGCCCAGCATACAGCCCATGCAGCTTTGCACATCTCATAACCCACAAGACTTAAACATAGATGGGGTGTCCCCAGCAGCCCCTGGCCTCACCGCTAAGCAGCACCCCTGAGCTGACAAAAGCATGGCTGGAGTCACACGGGATTATCCTTCATTCTGAATACCTGCAGTCCTAACTGTGAAAAGCACTGAGACTCAAAGCTACATAAAATAATGAAATGATAAGCAATGCCAATGGTAGCCACATGAGAAATCCCAGCTATTTGGGAAACTGAGGGAAGAGGATCACAAGTTCTAGGCCAACCTGGGCAACTTAGGGAAACCCAATCTCAAAATAAACTTTAGCAGGTGCAGCTCAGCAGTACAGTGCCTGCATAACATGTCATAACATAACTGGGTTCCGTCCCCAACACCAGTTTAAAAAAAGATAATTAATATCAACAAGTAACTGCAAACACACAGGCAATGCTAACTGACTGACAACTAAAGAACAGTCCAGACCCCAGCCCTATTTGTGGATGACCGTGCAAGGAACAGCCCCATCCAAGGCCGTGGTCATCGGCTTTACAAGCCAAGAAAACCCTCTCAGAGCTCCAAAGGAGTACTGCTGCCTCTGCTGGGGCAAGTCACAACACAGGCACTGTAAATACTATTGTCCAAGGACTGCCGGAGAGTGGGACTCACAACACCTGGGGTCCAGTCAGCTTTCCTATGGCACATTATATAAGAAACACATATTTTAAAAGCAGCTCAAATTTCCAAGACAAAGTGGCTTCCCCCAAAAGAAGAGGGCTGAGGCAACTTAAGATCATTCAAGTAATGTACATAATCTTGCTTCCCACAGTACTTTCAGCTTTAGTTAATATTTACTCTTTTTTTGAAGAATAACCCTCTCGCAGAGACCATTCTAACGACATTGACATTTGGTTGATGACAGTGTCACATTCTTGGCTATGTGTACGTCGCATTGCCGGAGCACCACAGGACAGAAAAGAGCAGCACTAAAATGTGTAAGTCCATTAACGCAAATCAAAACAAAAACACCTGCTGACCTCAGCAGTGACCTATTTTAACAGCGTAAATACTCAGCTGCTCTCCTGGCAGGCCATGCCAATAGCCCAACAATCAAGGGACTGTGCCCATGGGAATGAGGGAGGCACTGGAGAGAGAAGGAAAAGGAAGAGCTGGCGGGCAGGCGGGGCAGTGCTGCCAGGAGCGCACAGCCTCAGCCAGGAGGCTGGCAGAGCCCGAGCCCTGGCCCTCAGACTGCCACTGAGCACAAGGAAAACAGAAAAGAAGAGTGAAAAAGGTCCATCCCAGGAAAACGGCAGCCAAGCACTCTCCCTTGAGAGAACCAGGGCTAGCCAGGCCTGACCGGGGAGCCCTGGGGTGCAGAAAACATCGGGGCATGCTGACTCCCGGGCCTGTTTCCAGGCCCTGACTGGCCTCTCCTTGTAACTCCATAAGAGGGAGCCCACGGGCGCACAGACGCTGGCCCAGGACCAACATTCCACTGTACGGGACCAGAACACTGGCTGGCAGCTCCCAGCAGCTCGGACACTCGTGAACATGTGGCAGAGGCCCCAGGCTCAGGGAACAATTGTCTCTGAGGTGCCCAAGGGCAGTTAACGTGGGTGGTGGGCTCCAAAGGGGCTGTGAAACTGGCCCAAGAGGTTCTACCGGGCTGCCAGTGGGAAACAGGTTGGTACGGGAAAATGACAGGTCAGGGTCCTTTCCGTGGAGCTGCAAGCCCTGGCTGTGTGACTCGGGTGACAGGCAGGGGGCAGCAGAGCTGCAGCAGTGAGAGGCCCTGGAGAACAGGCTGTGGTGTGTTTGTACCCTGAAAGTCGCCCCCAGTAGAACCCTCCTGCCCCCTACCCCCTGCCATCTCTCCTCTGGGCTCCTATCCCCCCCAAACTCCTGGGTCCCCACCTCCCCCAGCTCTTACATACCTAAACACCTCCCCTGGTTTCAATGGCTCAGCTCCCTCTCCCCACTGGCCCCCTTCCCTGCAAACCCAGGTGCCCCACTCCCGCGGGGTCTCAGGACCTCAAGTTTGCTCCTCCCTCAATCGGGTCTCAGCAACCTCCCAACCAAGCGCTGACTTCCTCCTGGCACCCTTCCAGCTGACTTCCAAGACCACCCCAGCCCCAGCCCTGCCTCCGGGGTCTGTCCTCTGCCCCCCTCGGCCTCCGCAGGCACCCTGGAAGGGCCGCCTTCTACCTTCTCCGCAGGGGTCGGTCCTCGCCCCACAGCTGGACTGCTGCCTCCCAGATCCCTTTTTCCTCCTCCACGGCGGGGTCAGCACTGCCCCCCAGGCACCCTTCCACCTCCTCCTCCCCCATCAGGGGTGCCTCGGCCCCCCCACCGGGAGGCCCGTCTGTCACTCAGGGGTCGTCTGTCCCTCGGGGGTCTGCACCCCCCCACCCGGGAGGCCCGTCCGTCACTCAGGGGTCGTCTGTCCCTCAGGGGTCGTCTGTCCCTCAGGGGTCGGCGCCCTCCGCCCTCCCCGCCCGCCCAGATACCTCCCGGGCTCCCCCGGCCGTTGACGGTGCTCCAGCCCCACAGGCCCGAGGACCCTCCCACGTCAGGAGCCCCCTCCTCGCTTCCCTGACGGTCGGCTCCGAGGCCATCTCGGCCGCCGCCCGCCTGGCAGCCCGCCGGCTCCGACCACGCCGCCGCCGCCTCCTCGCCTCGCGGTCCTCCTGGGGCAGGGCCGGCGCGCGCCGCGAGGGAGGGCGGGCCGTTTACCTGGACTGCGGGCCGGCGCCCTGTGCGAAGCCGGAAGAGCTGCTCGCCGCCATCTTGGCGTCTTCCCTGGGCCGGCGGCCGCTGACGTCACCGGCCCGCCCCCTCCTCGGGCCCCGCCTTCCTCTTCCCCAAGCCAGTGAGGGTCTCTGCTCAAGCCCCGCCCACCTCAAGCCCCGCCCCTGCAGCGAGTCACGCCCCTTACTCGGAGCTCCGCCTTGCCTTCAATCACTCAGATAAGCAATTCTCAGCTGAAGCCCCGCCCCATGACAAGCCCCGCCCCTTACTTGGAGCCCCGCATTCCCTTTAACCACTCGGAAGTGAGGGTCTCCTCTCAAGCCCGCCCCTTACCCAGAGCCCCACTCAAAGCATCTGGCCTTCTGACTATGCCATATTACAAGAGGCTTGGAGTAAAAAGTACTTTTGCCAAGGATGGCAGGGGTGTGTTCTTTTGCCCTCCCCCGCCCCCGTATTAAGCAGACACAGGGCTAGTTAATTCTTGGACAGGCACCATGGAAGCCCCGGGTGCCAAAGGAGCCCCACTGGTGATTTAAACGAATGGCATTCTTCCGTGTCTTCATGACCGTATGTGGCCACTAGCAATGGTCTGGCTGGTCTGGCAGGTGTAGCTCTCTCACCATGCCCTGGCCAAAGCCCAGCGAGGTAATTACACATGGCCCCCCTCCAAGGCCCCGCGGTTCTAATTAGGCAATGAAGGCAGCGTCTGCTGTATAAAGGCAGGTCAATCCAGTGTTCTCTCTGGATTGCATAAACCCTGTCTCCTGTCAGGATTTCCAGGACCTGGCTGGTCCACACAACAGCCCTTGGAAGGGGGTACAGTCGGTTCCCACCACTTTGCTTGTGTAAAGTTGCCGTGGACCTTGAAGTAGTGGCTCCGGGGGACCTTTTCTCAAGGGAAAGGCACCTGGGAGGTCCAGGCTCCTGGTGGCCTTTGTTCACAGCATGTTTGTTGACCATCCATACGTGACCTTGTTCTCTGAGTTTGGCTTACAGTCACCTCCTTTAGCGTGCGCTTTTATTAATTAGCATTGCACTCTCGGCCAGCAGCGTAACTCTTCCTGAACAAAACAAAACTTCTCTGACCACATACTTCCCCTGGGAGGCACGTCGCAGGAGGCACTTCAACACTGGCCGGGGCCAACATAAAGGGCAGGGAGATGGCGAGCCCCTAAAGTCAGAGGCGGTGGCTTCAGCACCGTGGACAGCTCCAAGGCACTGTCCGTGAGAGGAGCTGCCGCTCCACAGACCGCGGACCATCCAGGCGGGCCGCTCTGCCCCAAATGCCTCTCTCTGTCCTCTGTCCATTAAACTCCTACTCGCTCCTCAGAGCCCAGCGCACATCGCCCCACCCCATCCCACCCCAGGAGATCCTCCCAAGGGCCCTGTCTCTAAATGAATGCGGCTCCTGGGACCTCCTGCCTCTCCTACCTGAGGGGAGTTCTGTGAGACCCACAGGCTGGTGTTTCGTGCCCAGCACTGGGCTCCAGGGCTAGCCTGCGTCTCCTTGCCATCAACGCAGTGTCCTTTCTGACAGTCGCACTTCCTCCACCCAGGACCTGGGAAGTCCAGGCCTTGTGCTGAAGGCTCTGGCCCCTTCCTTCCTCACCAGGCTTTCTGGGGGCAAGGTGCCTTTCTGCCTCAGTTTGGAAGGCTGCCGCCTGCTGCAGCGACGGAGGCCCGAGTGTTCCTGATGTCCACGCTCAGGCATCCTGACTGCACACTGTGGTTGGCACATGGCTCACATCCCCCAAGGCTCCAAGTGGATTGAAGACTGGGTCCCTAGGGTGGTGCTATTCAGAGGTGCAGAGACCTTGGGAGGTGGAGCCTAGTGGGAGGTGGAGCCTAGTGGGAGGTCCTTAGGTCATTGGGGACATGCCCTGGAAGGTAGTTCTCTCCAGAGGGCTTCTATGAGAGTTTAGGCGAGGCTCCACCCAGGTCTCTTCTGGCTTCCTGTCCGAGGTGAGACTACTCCCACACACTGTCCCACCATTCCCACCCATTGAGGACCAGAAATGAGCTGATGCAGGCTCCATACCCTGGGACCTCCAAAACTGTGAGCTAAATCATCCCCCACCCCGTGTGTGTGTGTGTGTGTGTGTGTGTGTGCGCCAGGTTTCTGTTCTCGCGACTAAAAGGCTCAGGGGTCACTCTAGTTAAACTGGGCTAACTGGGCTGCATGAAATAACCACACAAGAGACACAAATACCTTTTTCTTTGGGGTTGCTGTGATGGCTCCTCTGACCTTAAGGGTCCGCAGAAAGAGAGAGAGCGAGAGCACGCGCTGACCCCTTTTATTGAGGAGAAGCTATTCAAATGAGGCAAGGGGTCAGGTTTCAGGGGGCTGAGTCTATCTTCATGATGTCCACTGTCAGCAGGTTGACTGACACCTGGGTAGGCCACACCCAAGGGCACAGTAAGAGGAGGGGACACACACAAGGCACTTCAAAAACAGGGCAAGGGGTTACATTACAAAGGAACAGGTGAGCATAGCTTCACCCATGGGGCTGTAGCAAGACACACCCATTTCTGTGACCAGTCACCCGTAAGGTTGGCCTCCCACATGTGTGTGTGTGTGTGTGTGTGTACATATGCTTTAGAGATGGAACCCAGGGCCTCATGCATGCTCAGTGCTCTACCAATGAGCTACACACCCAACCTTTTCTCTTTATAAGTTATCTGCTTTAGGCATTTTGTTGTAGTAACACAAAGCCAACTAATACATGGTGGCTCTTGACCACCCTAGTGTCAGGCGCTACCCCCTGGGGGACAGTATATCTGTGAGTGAGATCAAGAGTCCTTCTCCCTGGAGATTCATATTCTAGTAAAAGTGGAACAGAGAATAACCACAGAAACAAAGAAATAATTTCTGAGTGGCAACTTCTGAGAAAAAAATCGTGTTCTTCAATAAGTGAAAGATAGAATTACAGCATGACCCAGAAATCCCCCCCCTCGGCACTCCCACGGGAGCGCTGAGAACAGGGACCCAAGCAAGTACTTGTGCCCATGTGTTCATAGCAGCCCCAAAGTGGAACCCATCTCAAGTGTAATCAGCAGATGAACAGATACATAAAATGGGCTCCACCCACACCCAGAGGTCCCTTGGCCACCAGCAGGAGTGAGGTGACACAGCTGCAGCATGGAGAGACCTGAGGACCTCATGCTCAGTGAGAACCAGACACACAAGGCCACAGTGTATGACCCAGTGACAGGAGAGTCCAGGACAGGACAGTCCAGAGATGGGGTGTGGACCTGTGGGTGCGGGAGGAGGCTGCTCGGGGGACGGGCTTCCACTAAGGGTGGTAAACTGTTCTGGATGAGGAAATGGAGGTGGTGCATGACTATCAGTGTATCAATGCCTCTGAGTTGCACCCTACCAAGTGTAAAGTGGTCAATTTTAAGGGCATTTGTTCCCCATTTAAGGAAAAGTGCATTGTACCAAAAAAAAAAAAACTTGGGCCATGGGGTAGGGTGGTGAGTGGGAGGCAGCCTCTCTGAGGAGACAGCTTCTGAACTGACACATGGATAGCATGAACATATGTGAGGGGGGAAGAGCATGTGTAAAGGCCCTGTGGTAGGAGTGAATGCAACGTGTTCCTGCGACACAGAAGACCACCACAGTGATGTAACTAGGAGAGACGGGAGAGAACACAGAAGTCATCTACTTGAGGTCGTGTGCTTCATTTCCTGACAAAATGCCACAGATGGGGGGGTGCTTAAAATGACAGACATCTATTCTCTCCAGAAGTCTGAAATTGGGGTGTCTGCCGGGGTGTCTCCTCCTGGAGTCTCTGGAGGGAATCTATTACCTGCCTCACTCTCTCCAGCAATCCTGGGGTTCCTTGGCTGGTAGATGCCTCACCCTGGTCTCTGCCTCCATCTTTCACTTGGCCTCCCCCCACACACACCTCTCCCTTCTCTTCTAAAGATGCCTGTCATTGGATTTAGAACCCCTCTAATCCCGGATGATCTGCACTCCGCATCCTTAACCTAATTCCATCTGCAAAGACCCTTTTTCCAAATAAGGTCACATGCACAAGTTCCCAGGACTGGGACATACCCGTGTGTCCTGGGGGCCACCATTCAGCCAGTTACAGGGCCCAGGTGGGGGGGCAGCAATTGGAAGAGACACCGACAGAGGTTCCCCCGTCTTCTCACGAGGTCCTGGAGGTGGCACTGGAGGTCCCATTGCCCGGACGGGGGGACTGAGGCCTGGCGCGGATCCGGGAGCAGGACGGGGCTCAGCCCCACTGTCCCCAGGCTGGCGGCTCCCTCCCGGCTGCGGCTCCCGGGCGCACAACTGCAGGGGGCGCTGCGCCCGCGGCGGCGAGGACCCGGCTCCGGAGCGGTCCCTGCAGGCACAGGCTGTCCGGGTCCCCGCTGGGGTGGGGCCTGCCCCTCCGTCCCTGTCGTCTGCTGCCCCTGTTCCGTCCTCACATCTGTGATGCGCCACCAGACACGAGCGCGGCACCTGCCCCGGCGGCTGCGGAGAGGCCCGTCCCCCGCCAACGGGGAGGAGCCGAGCGGCCGGGCCTGCTCCTCCGCCGCCTGCCCCCGCCCTCCCGCCCCTGCACACAAAGCAGCGGCGGTAACTGTCCCCGAGAAGCCAGCCTCGCCCGCCCGCTGTGCGCCCAGCAAACCCTCGGAGGCAGGCCGCGGGCAGCGATGACAGGGGCCGCGGCCACCGCCCGGCCAGCGGGAGCCCGCTGCTGACCCAGACCCGCTCCACCGCCCTGCACGGAAGAGCTCGGCCGCCGCGTCGCCCAGGGTGACCTTCCCGGGATGCCGAGTCCCCGCCAGCCTCTCCCCGCGAGGCTCTGAAGGCCCGGGGCCAGGAGTGCCGCGCACCGGGAGCGCTCGCCTTTGTTTGCCGGTGACAGGGACAGTGACGGACGAGAGGTGAGTGAGCCTGTCTCCTGCTCCAGCGCCCGGGAGGCGGATGGAGGCATTTGCTGCCGCCCAGCCCCAGGTGGGGCGGATAGAAGGGAGGATGCGGGTCTGCGAGGATGCGCTCTCGCCCATCTCACCCTGGTCGCCCTGTGGCCCAGGCCAGCAAACCTCCCGGACCCGCCGCAGCGGGCAGGTTTGCACCACTGTCAGGACAGCTCAGGGCTTAGGCAGATAAAGGGCTGTCCCCTCTCCTGGGGAGCTCCCTGGGCCTCTGCTGTTTCCTATTTATAACCCCCAGGGGCTCTGCCAGCTGCCGATTTTGGGGGAAAAAGATGTTGTAAGTGTGGCGCCCAGGGCTGGCTGGTGGGGTGGGAGGAAGGAGCCGCTAAAGACAGACGCCTCCTCCTCTTCCCAGCTTGTGCGTGATGGGTTAATGGCTCCGAGCATCCACACTCCTTCCCAGATGCCCGGCACCGTGGCTTTCTTTGCTCTCCCCAATGGGAAGCCGGGACCTGAACAGGAGCTTGTGGGCCACTGGGACCCACCACACCCCATATTTGGCGGATGTGGCCGGTCGGTCCCCAGGGAGCTGAGGTCATTGCCAGCTCGGGGCTGCAGACCCCTTCCAGGGAGGAGATGGATCTCCACTGGAGAGGACTCGCCCGTCAGTAGCATCCGGAAGGGACTGTTTTGCTCCTGTGCTGCGTCTTGCTGTCCCTCCTCCATGAGTGAATGACGACATTCAAGACAGCCAAGAGAGAATGTAGGCACTCTCTGGAAGCCAGGGAGGGTCTAGGTCCAGCTGCTCCCTCTTCCTGCGGGGACCGCGGGGCTCAGCCTCCCTCTGAGGCCCTCCTCACCAGCCACAGCAGAGCCATCTCCATGTCCCCCAGTGTGAGGGACACACCCAACCACCTGGCCCTGCCAGCTCTGCAGAGGGGCAGCCGGTGCAGGGCTGGGGGTCAGAATTCTCCTGTGCTGAGGAGTGTGGGTGACAGGAACTCTTCAGAGGAGGGAGGTCACAGGGTGGTCCAGCAGCTGAGCTTCATGGTGCCTCCGGAGCTGGGGCCTGAAACCCTTCCACAAAAGGCAAATAGAGAAAGAAATGGCTGTTTCCCTTAAAGCCGGGCTTCTCAGCCCCGGCCTGTGGACATGTGGCCCTAAGGACACCCTTGTTGCCTGGGGACAGCCTAGGCACTGTGGGTGTCCAGCAGGCTCCCTGACCTCCACCCAGAGCTCGTCCCCCAGGCACAGCAACCCAAAGTGCCCGCAGAAATTGCCAAGTGTCCCCTGAGGGTGGGGAGGGTCGTCCCAGTTGGAAACCACTGATTAAAAGCACCAGCGAGCAGGGCTGGTGGAGCAGGAGATCCCCTGGCCGTCGTCCAGAGGGCCTGGAAGTCGCCCCTGCATCAGTCCTTTCATCTGCAAACAGGAAGCTGAGGCCGAGAGGTGAAGGGCCTGGGAGTGTGCGGGGCCGGGGTTCCCCCATTTCAGCTCCTCCTCAACCCTCATCCTGTCCCAGAGACCCGAGCCACCGTCCAGAGCCCCACCCCCAGAACCCTGAGAACTAAACCTGCTTCCCCCAGGCGAGGGGGATTCTGATCCGACTTCCAGTCCTGCTGCTCGGGGCTGCCTTCCGAGTCCTGGGGTTGGGCTGTCAGGACGAGAACAGGGGGCAAGGGAGGGGACTGGAGCACAGAGAGGGTTGGCATGGGCCTGGTCCTCTTTGAAAGTGTCAGTCCCAGCAGGGAAAATTAAGCATATCAGTCATTCACACTTTAGTCTGAACGATTTTTTAAGGCGTTTATTGCTTCCCAGTTGAGATCCAGAGGGAGGATGAGCCTGTCTGGGTCATGGCTCGCCCTAGGGAAGGAAACCTCATGGGCTGGGCGATGATTGGGTAGAAGAAGGGGTGCGGAGCTGTTTGCAGACCCACCTCTGAGAGCTGCGGTTGGGGGACTGTTGTTATGACCACTGTCCACTCAACCCGCTCCTCCCTCCCAGCTCTCCTCCAGGGCCCCTCCTCCCGGCTCCCATGGGGACCACAGAAGCCACCCTGCGGATGGAGAAGGTGGAGGTGAAGGACGAGTGGCAGGATGAGGACCTCCCCAGGTAGGACTCTAGCCCCTGCGCCTGAGCTCCTCGCGTGCGTCGCTGCTGGGCGGGGTGGCAGGTATACCAGCTGGCACCTGGAGCCTCCCGGACCCGCCCTAAGCTCTATGTGGGAACTTGCAGGTCCTCTGGGGGGCGGGGACCTGAGTCCTCCCTGTGGCCTCGCAGCAGACTAGTGGAGACCAGGCAATGGCGAAGATCTGCTGAATATCTGACGTCCTCCCCGAGGCTCCCAGAGAGCCCCACCGCAGGCCATTTTAAGAATTCCAGCTGGGCACGGTGACCCAGGCCTGGGGCCCCAGCAACTCGGGAGGTTCAGGACCCACCTGGGCAATGCAGCAAAGCCTGTCTCAAAATAAAATAGAAAGGGCTGGGGTGCACTGAGTGGTGGCATGTCCCTGGGTCCGACCCCAGGGCCACACGCACACAAATCCAGAGCCATCTCAGAGATTACAGCCTTGCAACCCGCGCTGAATGACCGCAAGCCGTGGTGTACTTTTACCTGTAGCTGCCAGAGGCACCCGGCCCACCCCTGCTTAAACCCACCTGGGCACATGCCCATCCCTCTGAAAGTCCAGGGTCCTGCCTCTGTGTTCTTGGCCTGGTGTCCCCCCGGCCTCCTCACACCCTCAGCCCAGCAGCTTCCTCCCGTCCTGCTCCCTGACCGGCTGACTCTTACCTTTAGACTTTGCCCCTGCTGTTCCTCAGCCGGGCATGCTGTTCCTGGAGACTGCCTCCTGCCTCTTTCAGGCCTCAGGCCACTCCTCAGAGATGACCCCCTGGCCCCTCCTTGCCCCTCCCCATTCCTGAATGGTTTCCTTCCTGCGTGAAGGTGGAGAAAGCCCCCGGGACACGGTGTCCTAGTCCTTGGAACCTGAGAGTCTCCCTTCCGCGGCTGTGTTGCCTGCGTTTCAGTTAAGGCCGGGGGGCGGGGAGCTGTGGTCATGGGCTACCCCGTGAGCCCTGAAGATCACCGTGTGTCCCTCTAAGAGGAGGCAGAGAGAGATCTCGCACAGGAACAGGGGACATCAGCGTGGAAGGGACAGGCTGTGGGGCCCCTAGGAGCTGGAGAGCAGGACACGGACTCTCCCTGGAGCCTCAGGAGAGGCCAGCCCTGGGTTTGCCCAGTGAAAATGACCTTGGAATTGCTCCCGTCCTCTAGAATGGTAAGAGGACAGCCTGATGTGTTCAGGCAGTAAGTTCGTGGTGCTGCTCCAGCGGCTGTCAGATACTCAAAGCCTCCCATATGCTGCCTTAGTCCATTCTGTGTTTCTACAACAAAGTACCTGAGGCTGGGTGCTTTATAAAGAAAAGAGGTTTTGTTTAGCCCGTAGTTTTGGAGGCTTATGTCCAAACAGCATTGTGTAGGCTCTGGCCAGAGCCCTCCTTGGCTGCATCACCTCATGGTGGACGGCAGTGGAGTGAGCGTCTGTGACTGTCACAAGTTGCATCATCTCAAAGCAGGAAGCCAGGGTGCTGGTGGGCCTGGCTCAGCAGCAGGGCTTATGACGACGTCTCCCGAGACCTGAAGGGTCCAAGGAAGGACCTTAATCCCTTCCAAGAGCAACCCTGACCTGAGGGCCTCCCCGGATCCCACCACCGTGCCTCGCACACCAGGACAAGCCTCCATCACGTAGACCCTTGGTGCCTCTCAGACCATGTGTGTGCCAAACGCCACAGGCTCCCACCGACTGCACTCATCTCCCACCACAGGGAACCCCGAAAAGGCAAGAATCTTTTGCTTTGATCACTGCTGAACCCCAATCCAAGATGGTGCCTGGCAGGTAGTCGGCGCTCAATAGATGACGGTGAGTGGGTATTGCCCACAGGGGAATAAAACACCGGGTCCGAGGACACTGCAGGCTCCCCGAGGCCCAGGAGCCCGCTCTGTGAACCCCGACGGGAGGAACCATCCCGAGGACCGCTGTGGTCAGCCTGGAAGGGAATTTGAAAAGAATCTCCAGTTCCAGAAAAATCTTGTCTGCGAGGGTTCCCAGGGCCGAACCCGGTGGAGTGGACCAACCCGGAGGAGAGGGGCTGCAGGGCAGGCAGGGGGTCGCTCCAGCCACCTTCCGGTGCCTCGGGAGGCTGCCCACAGGCAGCTCTGGAGCCGTCTGTCCAAGTAGAGGCGAGGCCTTTGGAGGAAGCACCCCACATCCAAGGACGTCACCCTGAATCTACTCGTGTGGAGACCCCAAGTTCCATGCACCCACGTGGCGTAGCAAGAGGCGCCCTGCTCCAAGCCACGGACAAGCTCTTGTCCTGGGGTCGTGTCCACGGGAGCCCGGCCAGCTGCCTGCGGGGCCTGCCCAGGTCCACTCTGCAGCTCCCGGACCTGAGTGGTACCTGCTGGGAACCTCTGCAGCCCTCGATAGACGGACGTCCTCGCTTGGGGACACTTACCTCTAGGGGCAAGGCCGTCTGTGACTTCGTCCTCCAGTGCTCCGAGCCAGCACTCAAGTTCTGGAATTTTCTGGGGAAAAAAAAAATTCTAAACATGGCAAGAATTTTCAATTAAAAAAAAATTCAAAGTATTACATAAAACAAAAGTTGCACGTATTTCTGGGGCAGCTGGTGACGTTTCAACTCACGGACGCAGTGCGCAGTGCCCGGAAGGCTGCGTCTTTCTTGCCAAACATTTCTTGATTCTTTGGGGTAAAAACGTTCAAAATCTCAGACCAGGGGTGTGGCTCAGGCGTAGAACGCCTGCCCCGTGTGCACGAGGCCACGCAGCACCACGCACACTCACACATGCACGCACACTCACACATACGCACACACACGCACATACACACTCACACACACACACACTCACACACACTCACACACTCACACACTCTCACGCACACTCCCGCGCGCGCTCAGAACCCTTCCTCCAGCTTCTGGCCTTTCGAGGGGCGCAGGACCTTGTCCTCCCTCAGTGGTGGGCTCTGCGGCGGCTCTGGCCTCTCCCCTCCAGCTGGGTCTTGGGGCCGTGCCCAGCCTCCCCGTTGGGCGGTTGTTCTACCGTTTTTCTCGGTGCAGGGCCTGAGGGCTGAGGGGAAATGGCTGTGTGGGAGGCCTGCCAGCCTCTGGGCAGAGAGCCGGGGCTGGGGCTGCCTGCCTGCACTGCTCCACCCTCGCCCACAGCCCAGCCCCTCTGAGGGGCGCAGCATCCACGCCTGGCACCCAGAGGGGGACAGGGGGACTTAAGGCCCAGAGTCGGCAGTTGGGGCAGATGAGGGATCACTTTTTTTTTTTTTAAGTACTGGGGATTGAGCTCAGGGGCCCTCGACCACCGAGCCACACCCCAGCTCTATTCTGTGTTTTATTTAGAGTCAGGGTCCCACTGAGTTGCTCAGCACCTCGCCATAGCTGAGGCTGGCTTTGACCTCTCAATCCTCCTGCCTCAGCCTCCCGAGCTGCTGGGACAGGTGTGCACCACCATGCCCAGCAGATGAGGGATCACTTTTCAGCGAGCAGGTCAGGGTGTCGTTAGGAATGTTCTAGAATGGGCAAGAATGATTGTCAGAGCCTCGTCTGCTCTGGGAGCACCCGGGAAAGCTGTGGCTCTGTGTTCTTGGCAGATTTAGGTGCAGTGACCTCAGTGGGTTCCATCCAGCACCAGGTGCCAGGAGCCCAGGGGGCCTCTGGCCAGTCCTCAGCCTCATGTCCCCTTGGCCCCCATGGACTCTGGTCTCTGCCCAGACCAAAGCATCGTGTCCTTGCCCAGGGCCAAGGCACCCTCCTTCCACCCAGGTCTCCCGGCAGCAATCGGCCGACCGTCCCAGACTCGAGCAACCCCCACAGGCCCCCTGCATCCTGGGTACCCGGGACCGGCTCCAGGACCCACAGATGCCAAAACCCACAGGCGCTCGGCCCCGGGTTAGGCTAGTGCCATGCTGGCACAGACCCTGGACTCCAAGCCCCGTCCAGGTGACTCGGACTCCCCACACGTGTAGGGCCGTGGCCACAGCCGTCACGCTGCCTGGCTTGATGACAAGCGAAACGTCCACGCGCGTCCACGTTTAAGAACCGTTTTCCACCCGAGGCCGGTTGGATCCGCAGATGCGGAGCCCGCGTGTTCTGGGGCTCCTGCTGGGACTCAGTGGCACCAGGGAGCCGCAGAGGCATGAGCTGCGGACGGACGGACGGCGGGGCGGTGGCCGGGTCCCAGCTCCAGCAGGACTGCTCCCTCTGCGAGGCCGCGGAGGCCGAGGAGGCCGCGGAGGCCGCTCCTCCCTGTGGAAGCGACCCCCTCCCAGGCCCCGGGAAGCACCGTCCAGACGCAGCTGCGAACAGAACAGGCCCCGCTCTGTAGCGGGTGGGCACCGGGCAAGAGGCGGGTGACTTTCCAAAGAATTCTCCAGCTGCCGGGGCTCCTCCCGGGGCAGCGGCCCAGCGGCTGCAGGACAGTGGTCTTGCTGTGCGCCAGCCCTGGAGGAGCCGAGGCGGGTAGCCAACTCACAGCTCACCACAGGCTCTGTCTCGAAGAGGGTTCAGCCGCGGCCCACGGAGCCGCCTGTGTGTCCCCCGCCCCGGGGCTCACCATGCCGCTCCTCCCAGCCTGGCCACCCCTCTCCAGGGAACATCACCGGTGCCCACTGCTCGTCCTGGTCTCTCCGCCCACTGCCCTCTGCAAGCCCCCTGGAGCCAGAGCCTCCCGCAGCCTGGAATTACCCAGCTCACTGCACAAATCCCCTGTTTGCTCCTCTTAGAAAGAGACAAGCTGTTAGATGGGGGCCCCCGTGACCCAGCGCGGCCTGACCTCATCTTAACTCCGTCACATGGGTAAACCCTGCAGAAACTCCTCGCTGTCTTTGGGAGGACCCTGGATGGATGCCCAAGTGGATGTCACCAGCCCTGGGTACACAGAACCACGTTGCCCCGACCTGCACACCCGTGATGAACTCACCTCCTCACGTCAAGTGAGTCCATCTCGCCTGCTTCTCTTTGGCATATCGTCTGAATGGCCAAATAATGACATTTCGGGGTCATAATGAAGAAAAACAAACAAGCACCGTGACACCGCAGCAGTCAGTCTGATAACGGAGACAGTGACTGAGTCACTAACAGGAGAGTAGCATCCACGGTGTGGATACATTGAACGAAAGGATAATCCACGTGCTGGAGCCACAGAGTGCACGACTTCACACGCTCCTCAGGAAAAGGGCGACTTAAAACTTACGGATCTTATGCTATTTGCGGCCATATTTGTTTCTGGAATTTTCTATTTAGTATTTTCAGACCAGAGCGGATTGCAAGTAACTGAAAATGCAGAAAGCCAAACCACTGATAAGGGAGGGTGACTATGTCCCAGTGAGGCCACAGCCCGGCACCAGGCATCGGGACTTGAGCGGATACCTCAGGGAACAGCTCTACCCAGGACAGAGGGATGCAGCCATGCTGTCCAGCTTGCGTACAGAGGGGACATTACCGGGATGGATCCCAGAGCCTCACGCATGCGAGGCGAGCACCTGCACGTCCGCCCAGCTCCAGCCCCGGTGCTGTTTATTTTGAGGCAGGGTCTTCCTGAGTTGCTGAGACTGACCTTAAACCTGTGCTCCTCCTGCCTCAGCCTCCCGAGTAGCTGTGATGACTGCCATTTGTCACCGTGCCGGCAGACTCCCCCCTTTAACAGAGGCTCCCTATCAGGGACTGAAAGCAAATTCTACAGGAGACATCAGGATGTCCCTGCGGCGGTGGGCAGGGTTTTCAGGTCTAGAGAGCTTGCGGCTGTCCCAGGGCTTGGGGAGTGGCAAGGTCTCACCTGCCTTGGAAATCCCAGCTCTGCGGGCGGGCAGGGTGGGCATCTGCTGCACTTGGGCCTCCTTCCTGGAGCCTGGGGTCCTGCACAGGGCCCTCACGCCGTCCAATTCGGCATGGTCCCTCACCTTATGGGATGACCTCTGCCTCTGAGGGCTGCCCTGGGGGACATGGGCTCCTGATCTCATCCCTCACCAGTAGTGCTCACCCTGACCCGTTCCTTCCCCTCCATCCACCTGCCCCATGGTGCTCTGCCTGGGGCTGCTGCTCCCCCCAGGGCCCCCACCCCCCCCCCGGCCCCCCCCGCCCCGGGCTGCTGCTCCCCTGCTGTTCCCCCCACGGCCCCCTCTGCACCGGGCTCCTGCTCCCCCCACGGCCCCCTCTGCCTGGGGCTGCTGCTCCCCCGTGGACCCCATGCTGCTCCCCCGCGGCCCCCCTACTGCTCCCCCACGGCCCCCTCTGCACCGGGCTGCTCTACTCTCTGGTCTGTTCCTGAGCTCACTGGGCTGATTGCTGCCCGGGCTTTGCCCCTCCTGTGTTTTGCCTGGAAGGCTCTCCGTCCCTGCAGGTGCCAACCTATGGCTTGTAAGTCGCCTCCTCCCGGGCCCAGGGAGCAGCTCAGTGGTGAGCAGCCTGGCAGGGGAAGCCTGGCATCCGCCCCCGAGGGCCTCTGCCGGCTGCCCAGGCTGCCCCCGCTGCCGGGGCTTGTGCTCTTTGTGGCAAGGGTGGCCTCTGCCCTGTTGATGCACCTGCCTCCTCGGATGCAGACTTCCTGACCTACACGACCTCTACCAAAGAACCCGCGTGGTGCGTGGCACCTCTGCCAACCACTGGGCCTGCGGGCAGCGTGTGCTGACCCAGGAAGCCCTGCTCTTGCCCTGAAGGCCTCCTGGTGGAGGGCGCGTGAGGCTGGGGCCCTGCTGTGTCCCCGAACCCCTCCTTCACTTAACACCACGGATTCCAGACTCTGGGGGCATCCAGAGACCCCCAGGGCAGCACCTGGGCAGCCTGGGCCGAACGCCGGGGTCATCATTCAGCCCAGCTGACCAGGCACCACGCCCTCCAAATGGAACCACCCAGCAGGGACCTACCTGCTCCGTGTCCCAGACCCCAACATGCCTCTGCTCAAGAGTGAAGAGCAGGCCACCTCACTGCAGGGGACGGCCAAGGAGAGGGGCACCCGCAAGCTCTCAGCCTGGAGAGCGGGAGCAACCCCGGCTTCCGACGGCGACCTGCAGGGGGCGCCTTTGGCCATCGTAGGACCCCTGTGCACCGCCAGAGCTGGGAACATGTCCCCCTCATGAGAACCCAGACAACGCCAGCCTCCTGCTGTGGCGGGGGACAGAGCGCGGCCTGTGGGCAGGCCGGGGCACCAAGGCCCTGGCCCCTAGGCCTGATCCCTCTCCCTGCCTCAGTCTCCCCTCCAGGAAGCGGGTTCTACCTGTCTCAAGGGGCCACTGCCCACAGCCCAGCGTGGTGCCTGGCGGGCTGCGGACGGGGAAGGAGCCCGAGGGCAACTCCTCACCCAGCGGCCAGCTGGAAGGAAGGTCCCCGGATTCCAGACGAGAGGGGAACCCAGAGTTCTGGGCCGCAGCTCTGATCTGACAGCAAAACCCACAACCACCGAGCAGGGCCGAGCATCCACCATCGCGGCCAGTCCTGGGCCTGGGGGCCTCTGGGCACCCTGTGTCCCTGCGCTCCGGCTCTGGGCACGGGTCTACTCTTCAGCCCGGTCAGCCTCTCTGAAACCTCTGCCCAACGCTGCTTCTGAGTGAGAGTCACGTAACGCAGATCGGCCATTCTAGAGTGCACAGTCCAGCGGCAGCGGCACCTCTGTCTGGTTCCAGAACATTCCATCCCCGAAGGAAGTCCAGGAGCAGCCCCCGTCCCTCCCCATGGCCCACATCCCGTCTCTGGACTCCTGTCCTTGACCCTCCTGTCACTGGGTCACAGCCGGTGGCCTGTGTCTGTGGCTCTGACTGAGCACCAGGTCTTCAGGTCCGTCCAGTGCAGCTGCCACCTCGCTCCTGTGGGTGGCCGAGAGACACTCCTAGTGGTCACCCGGGTGGTCCCCTCTGCCCAACTCTGAGGTGTGCTGCTGTGGACCCTGAGCACGGATTTCCTGTGGACGTAGGTTTTCTTTCCCGGGCGTCCACTCTGCTCTGGGCCTCCACCCGCGAGATCAGGCCGACCTCTGATTCATTCGGGACCTCAGGCCCCCAGATCACCCTGGGGCACAGCAATTACTCGAAGGACACCAGAGGGGAGGGGAGCACAGACCCGCTGCACCCTGACAGACTGGAAGAGGCGCAGGCTGAAGCTCTCCCCCACACCCACCCCGAGCCGCTCTGACCAGCAGATGTGAGTCTCCCGCTGCGGCTCCAGGGGGCCAGCGCCCTGCAGGGAAGACTCTGGCCGCCCCCTCCTGGACTTAAAGGAAGGAGCCTGGGCCCTGGGTGGCTCCAAGGAGGGCGGGCGGGGGTGCCAGAACGAGGTCCCAGCCTGCAAACCTGAGCTCAGCTCCCCAGCCCTGGAGGAGGCCAGGGCTGCCCCAGAGGGACGAGCACGCCTGGCTGCGTTTCTTAATCCTGATCTACAACAGTCGGGTTTGCAAAAATGTTGCAAAGAGGGTGCTAAGAGCTCCAGAGCCCACCCCGGTTCCTCCTGGTCCGCCTCCTGCTGCGGCAGGGCGCTGGCCAAGTCCACGTCTTATCAGCTGCTGAAGGCCACACTGGATTCAGATTTTCTCAGTTTTGTCCCTAATGTCCCTTTCCAGTGGTGGGACCCCATTTCCATGCTACCTGGCAGCTGGTCATCAAATCTTCTCAGGCTCCTTGGAGCAGTGACGGTGTCTTGGGGGCTCCTTGGTGCCCCACAGGGCTGCCGTCCACCAAGATTGGCTGACGTTCTCAGGGATCCCTGGGTCCAGGGGAGGAGGAGCAGAGGGGCCCGCGGGCTGCTGCGGGCTTGGCCACCTGGCTGACGCTGCGTGGCCCCCTCCCCTGGACACTGTGGCCTGTGGGAGGGTCATGCGTCTCCTGGAGGCCACGTCTGCAGACCCAACCCGCAGCTCCCCTGCACCAGGATCCGTCCCTTCTCCCCGTCCACGGTGGCCATCTGCTCCCGTCAGCGTAGACTCGGGGACATTCTCCTCCCACCTGGAGTAGAATCCACTAATATCCTGCTATTGGCTGTCAGCCGCCCAGGGTTGGCCGAGGCGTCCTTCAAGCTGACTCGCGAGTCCCTCGCCCTCTGGGGTCCTGCTTGCCGCATCGGGGAGCCCTCTCTCCCACAGTAGAGTCGGGATCCTTCCCTCGGGGCTCGGCTCGCCCCGGCCCCCGGCCCAGGCGGGCGCCACGTTGGCGGGGGTTGGGAGGAGCCCGGCACAGAGGCTTCCCAGCTCTCACGGTGCCTTGTCCACCCTGTTTTGTCTGCACGCGCCTGGCCGGATGCCCGGGTCGCCCTGCGCCTCTGGTGGATTTCCATGCTCCTTCCTGGCTGGGTCCTCAGGCCGCTCCCAGAAGAGACGGGCATGGAGTTGCTTGGCAGCCCCGTGGAAGACACGTCCTGTAAGTCTGCCCACGGGGGGAAGTGGGAACTTGGTGTCTGCTTTGGCTCTGCCTTGGGCTGTCACTGTAAAGAACATCAGAGGCCACGTACCCTGAGAGGGCAGTCAGGGAAGGGTGGCCAGGCCTGCAGGGCAGGCGGCCATGTCGGTGAGAGCCCTGTCACAAAGAGAGCACAATGCCTTGCTGTGTGTCCTACTCAGCCTCTCTGTGCCTCCTGATCCCCCTCTACTAAATACAGGTGGTCGGCTTCTTGCAGAGGGAGTATATAGGGGTGAAATGAGGTGACATATGCAAGGTACCCAGGGGATGCCAGGATCGGATTCAGAGGAGCCCTGAGCAGCCCCGGAAGGCCGTGCCACCCAGACTGCTCCGAGGACCCAAAGCCCCAGACTGGACACAGGCCGCCCGGGAGGCTGGCGAGCTGCCGGAGCCCTGCGTTCTCCTCCCTGGCGTGTCTGTGCTGAGCTCTGCGGGGACCCAGCTCCGCCTGCATCTTGCCACGTGTCCCGTCACGGTGCCCACCCTACCTAATCAGGGGGACGGGCAGGCCCCTGAGGTCACACAGCAGTGACAGCCAATCTGCCCAGTCCTCCCACTGCCCTGCATTGCTGCACCCAGCTCAGTGTCCAAGGGATGCTCAGGGAGGCCCGTCCCTGGGGCCGCGAGCAGCCAGCAGGGGCCTCTGCGCTAGGCTCTCCTGGGCTCTCAACCCCAGCAGGGACCTTGGGCCGTGCCCCACGCGGCTGCTCAGCTGAGGGTTTCTAGGAGAAAGGCTGAAATTCCCAGGAAGGGAGCTGCCAGGAGAGCTGGAGGGCTCCCGCCAGGCCGTCCCCCGTCCTTTCTGCCAGGCCACCTGGCACCACGGCCACCACTCACACCTGAAACGTGGCCCCCCACGCACACACATGCCCTGACGCTGTGCTCTGGAGAACCCTAATTCCACCCATGGGATCCCCTGACCCGATCCCACCTGCCATCCCAGGGACTCGGAGGCTGAGGCAGGAGGATGGCAAGTTCAGCCTGAGCAGTGTATCGAGGCCCAGTCTCAAAATGAAGCAAAAGGCTGGTGTGGCCCGTGGGGGAGCCCTGGGCAGAGTGTGGGAAGCCCTGGGTTCCATGTCAGCAGAGAGAGAGAGAGAGAGAGAGAGAGAGAAGGAGGGGGGAGAGGGAGGGAGAGGGAGGGAGAGGGAGGGAGAAGGGGAGGAAGGAAAGAGACGCAGGCCGTCCACTCCTGGGGACCGGGCCTCCCAGGCTCCGGGCGGCCTGGCCTTTGGGCTTCCTGGAGTAACAGTTCATGGGCAGGAGGAGAGCACCAAGTCCCCAGGCCATGTCCAGCCTAGGACCAGGATCCCAGGAGCCACCCTCCTGCCACCAAGTCTGTGGCTCTCCGGGGGCCGCTGTGAGGTCCCAGGGACCAGGCAGCTAAAGCTGTGGGTTCCTTCGCTCTCCATTCTGGAGGCTGCAAGTCCAAGGCCCAGGTGGCTGGGGTCCACCTAGGGCCCGGTGCCCAGGGGGACAGTGCTCCACCCGCTAGCCAGCCCCCAGCCCCGAGTTTCAGTCCAAAGTCTCCAGGCGTCTCAGCCCTGGCTGAGTCTCAGGTGTCCCCGGACCCCGGGGGCGGATTCTCTCAGCGGGAACCTGGAAGCCGGGGCCACCTCCTGGAAGCCGGGGCCGCAGGAAGGCCAGCATTCAGGGTCCCAAGCCAGCCTGAGGCCGGAGACCTGGGCAGATTCCCAAAGTCCATTTTTTTTTAGAGCAAATTCCATATGATTTTAAAGCTTGGAAATAATCCTCTTTGGCTCAAATCCCTGCCCTCTGGGCCCACGCGGTGGGGCTCCTGCCTCCCTGCCGGTGACCAGTGTCGCGGCGTGACCTGAGTCTTGCTGTCACGGTGCCCCGTCAGCCAGGGAAAGCATCTGTGCCCTGGACCACTCCTGGGGGGAGGGCAGGGTGAGCCAAGGGGCTGGGGTCTGCCCCTCGCTGCCCCCGGTGGCAGGTGACCCTAGGCTGGACAGCACTTGGCGCTCCTGTCCAGGAGACAGGCAGCACTTGCTGCCACGGGATGTCACAGTGGGATCTGGAGGAGCCGCAGGAGTGGGGAGGACGCTCCATCTCCAGGGAGCGCCGTCCAGGGAGCGGGAGGCCAGCTCTGCCCTGCGTCCCCTCCGATGGCTTCAGCCCCTGGGGAGCCCAGGGTCCAGCTGAGGTCTCCAGGGGAAAGCCGCTCAGCTCACCCTGCGTGGTCAGGGCGGTCAAGAGCACGTGGGCGCTGGGTGGGCTGCTGGGGTCGGGACCGCATCATCCAGAGACCCTGATGGCCGCGCCCTGCCAGGCCTGTCTTGCAGGTGGCCGTAGGAACAGGGCCTCCGGACAGGGCAGTGCCGGACTCGGAGCCGCAGGCTGCTGAGCGCTCCCCTGGGCAGGTGGGGAGCGGAGCGGTGGGATCTGGAGGAGGGACGGAGAAGGATGGGCGGCTCCGTCTGTCTCTCCCGCAGCCCCGCCCACCACCCTGAACTTCGGGGGAGCTCACCGCAAGAGGAAGACCCTGGTGGCCCCGGAGATCAACATCTCCCTGGACCAAAGCGAAGGCTCCCTGCTGTCCGATGACTTCTTGGACACGCCCGATGACCTGGACATCAACGTGGACGACATCGAGACCCCCGACGAGACGGACTCGCTGGAGTTTCTGGGGAACGGGAATGAACTTGAGTGGGAAGGTGAGGGCCGAGGGCTTCAGGGGCCACCACGGCCGCCCAGTTCCCCACCCTGTCCCCAGTCAGGCTCACCCACTGGCGGGCAGCTCCGGGAGCAGCAGGCTGCACAGGGCACTGACCGGGGGCCACCCTTGGGCGGGGCTCCTGCAGGCTCGTGGACTTTCCTGGGGCACGTGGCTTTCAGCAGTGGCCGAGGCACGCGCTCCCAGCCTGCCCCTGACGCGGACTCGTGGGGGCCAGGTCCTGACCCAGGTGCTGGAGGTCCAGGGAGGGCTGTGGACACTGACGGGCAGGAAGCAGAGGCTGGGCAATGGGCGAGGAGATCAGGGTGCCCCAGGCACCAGCCACACGCACGGGGACCTCAGGAAGCCAAGCTGGGCACGGGGCCTCTCACCACCGCGTCCGCCCCACCGTGGGACACTGGGCCTTGTCTGGGGACACTTACGGTTGTCACTGCTGGAGGAGGGCAGCTCCTGGCCTGTAGCTCGGCAGCCTGCAGTGCCCCTCACTGCCAGTGCCCAGGACACCACCCAGAGAAGGACCCCGCGTGTCCACAGTGCCCCTGGGAGACCTGGGCCAGGACCACAGGGTGGGGTCCCTTTCACGGGGGTCAGCACAGGGTGGACGTTGGAGAGGAGACCCTCCGCTGGAGCAGTGCGACTGGCGTGGGGCGGGGCCGATCGAGGTTGAGGGGAGAGGGGCAGCAGCAGCCGAGGTGTGGCTTGAGGCGGCCTCGGCCAGGGGCTTGGCTTCGACCCCGTGGGGTGGAGGACAGAGGAGTCCAGGGCCACTGCGAGCTGCGTGTGCAAAGGCTTCCGGGAGCCACCAGAGGGGCAGCTGGGGTCAGAGGAAGGGGGGACACTAGCCGGGGGGGGGTGGTGGCCTGCTGGTGTGGAGAAGTGACAGACGGGGTCCCCTTGGAAGTGGAGCCCGCAGTGGTTGCTGGATGGGTGAGGAGCATAAAGAGCAGAGGGGTCAAGGTGACAGCACGTTTGTGGCCTGAGCGTGGGGCACACAGTCATGCTGTGACCAGAAGAACACGTGTCACAGAGGTGGCCTTTCTTTTTAAGTTGTTGATGGACCTTTATTTTGTTGGTTTTCATGTGGTGCTGAGGATCGAACCCAGGGCCTCGCACGTGCCAGGCGAGCGCTCTGCCGCTGAGCCCAGCCTAGAGAGGTGGCCTTTTTCAGAGCAGTTTGGGAGCCCAGAGAGGGAGGTCCTGTGTGCAAGGTCACACAGCGAGTCCTGTAGGAGCGGGCCCCACCCAGCTCCCCTGACTGGACGAGTACTGGCCAGTCTGCTGGCCACTCTCCGCTCCTCAGTGTAAAGATAACACTAGTGTCCATTAGCACTTGGCTGTGGCTTCTGACTCCCAGTCCCCCCATTTCTCCCCCAGCCCCACCCTAACAGGCGGTCTTTCCTGTGTGAGTGAGGTGCCCAGAGGACAGAGGACAGCTGGATGCTGACACCAGGGGTCACAGGCCCACGCCTGTGGCCTTTGTTCCCAGTTGCTCACATCTGTTGGGAAATGTGTGCAGAAAGTGACTGTTTTAAGAGCAAAAAGGGGGCTGGGCTGGGGCTTGGCACAGGGGAGGCACTGGGTTCAGGCTCAGCAGCGCATCAGAAATAAATAAATAAAATAAAGTTATTAAAAACAAGATTTTTTTAGAAGAGGGAAATGGCCGGGGTGGGGGGGCAGAGGGGGCAGGAGGTCCAGAGCGGCCTGTAGACTGGGGTGCAATCCTGGGAGGCTTCCTGGAGGAGGTGGTTTGAGCCAGGCTGGGGGGAAGGGAGGAAGATGGGGACACAGCAGCCAGGTGGGAGAAGCCACGTGGCCCCCAGCAGCAGTGGGAACCGTGAGAGGGAGACAGGGAGGGTGGACGAGATGTCTGGACTCCAGCAGCCTTTCTGCTCACCCCGGCGTGCTTCCAGATGATACCCCTGTGGCCACTGCCAAGAACATGCCCGGTGACAGTGCAGACCTGTTTGGGGACGGCGCAGCAGAGGATGGCAGTGCCGCCAATGGGCGCCTGTGGCGGACGGTGATCATTGGGGAACAAGAGCACCGCATTGACCTGCACATGATCCGGCCATACATGAAGGTGGTCACCCATGGAGGTGAGCCTGGCGTCCTGGGACCCCTGCCCTCCTGTGGTCCAGGAATGATGGGCAGCTGGGGGCCCTCGGGGGTCCCCTCTGGACCTGGTTTCTTCTTCTGCTCTCTGGGAATTCTAAGCCTTCATCTTGCTGGAGGAGGGTGGCTGGCTAGGACAAGGTGGGTGTGGCAGATACACGCGTGGTGACCAGGACAATGGCTGCTGTTCTCCACCCAAGGCAGAGACTGCTTGGGGGGTTCAGCTCCCTGCCAGGTTGCTGCGGCTCAGGGCAGTATCTTCCCGAGCATGTGGGTGGGGGAAGGGTGACTGATGACACGGTGGCCTGGGACGGCTCAGAGCTTGGACAGCACTGGCCAGGTGTGCCTGGGCCTGTTCAGCCACTCCGACCGCCTCTCCCCAGGGTACTATGGCGAAGGCCTCAACGCCATCATCGTCTTTGCGGCCTGCTTCCTCCCGGACAGCAGCTCCCCTGACTACCACTACATCATGGAGAACCTCTTCCTGTAAGTCTCCACCCACCCCAGCACCCTGGGCCACCGTGGTGCAGACACCCAGGTCTGCGGGCTCAGGCCAGGGAGCCAGGCTGCAGGCTCTGGGAGGCTCCGCCTGGCACCAGGGAAGGGCATGGCTGCCACAGACCTTCACTGGAGCCCTACCGGCTGCCACTGATCCATGGACTTCCTCCAGAACCTCCCTACCCTCACCACCACCTCCACCACCATCACCATCACCACCACCATCACCA